ATTGAGATATGGCAACACTGAGTACAACTGATACGTGTGAGTTTTATATATATATATGTATATATATATATATATATATGTACATGTACATGTATACATACAGGTAGATGCACACTACATCACACAATAAGGTAGTTAGTGCATATGTGACGTGGGACCCGGGCGTTGCCCATGAGGAACGTGATTGCAACGCCGATGGGGCAGTGGTGTGCGTGTGTGCGTGTGTGCGTGTGTGCGTGTGTGCGTGTGTGCGTGCGCGCGTGTGCGCGTGCGCGTGCGCGTGCGCGTGTGTGCGTGTGTGCGTGTGTGCGTGTGTGCGTGTGTGTGTGTGTGTGTGTGTGTGTGTGGTGGGGGGGGGGGGCGGGTGTGCGTTGGCGCGTGGATGCGGGTGTGCGCAGGCACGTGTGGGTGCATGTGTGTGTATGTGTGCGTGCGTGCGTGCGTGCGTGCGTGCGTGCGCGTGTGAGCGGGGGGGCGACGCCTCCTCCGTCTTCCCGCGCCACCGCCGCCGCTGCGCCGCCAGGCGGGGGGGAACCGCGCCGCCGACGACGACGCCTCCACCGACCGCGACGACTTCCTTTCGTGCGCGGCGGAGGACAGCCCAGCTTGCCCCCTCCCCTGCGCGCGCCCCTCATCGCCTCATCGGCCCTCCGCCCTCCACCCATCCGCCATCCTCCTCCTCCTCCTCCTCCTCCTCCTCCCCATCTTCTCCGCGCCCCCTCCTCATCCTCCTCCTCATCCTCCTCCTCCTCCTCCTCCTCATCCTCCTCCCCCTCTTCCCCCTCCTCCTCCTCCTCCTCCTCCTCCTTGTCCTCGTCCCCAGCCCTGTTGGACAGTGGCCGCGGGCGCGATTGTTGGCGCCATCGGCATCGCGCCTGATATAGCAATTTTGGCCCTGCTGCGTGGAGGCTCGCCCCTGCTTGCAGCCCGGGTCTTCATCGGGCCACGCCCGACCGATCGCGCGAACCGCCGCCGTGGCGTCCGAGGCCGTCGCCCCCGTGGACGCGGGCGCGGCCCCCGCCGAGGGCCATCGGGCCGACGGCCCCGAGTGCGTATCTTGCGCTAGGGCGATCGCGAATGAACGTGAGCGGGTCGTCAACAAGAGGAACGCTGAGACGGGGGATGCGGAGAGCTATATATGCATTGGGTGCAATCGTTTGAAATATCGAGTCTGTTGTCTCCGCAAGGGGAATCAGGACTTCGCTGGCTTCACCGATATCAGCGGAGAGTCCAGGGTGCAATTCATGCGTGAGTCGGTGAACCTCTACGGGGCCGATCTCAGCAAGAAGATGCTAGAGTGCCTCACCCTCTCCAGGGTCCAGTCGCAGAGCAGTTGCTTCACCGAGAACGGCGAATTCATGGTGGAGAGCGAGGCGGCTGAGTTACCGCGCTTCGTCAGGGATCCAGCTGCGTTCGCCCTGTTGAAGGAGAACGCCCCGAGTTTCAAGTGCCCGCTGTCGGGCATCAATCACATCTACGTGCCCACCTACAAGTACGAGGCCAAGAAGTCCGAGACGAACACCAGGCAGGAAGATCGGATCATCAGCGGCGAGAGCACGCTCAAGGCAATGAAGGCGCCCAGGCAGCCCAAGCAGCCCAAGGAGCCCAAGGAGCACAAGAAGAAGGCGCTCCCCAAGGCCGCGGCGAAGAAGGGCCAGGACTCGGTGGACGCCATGGTGGCGAAAAGCTACCAGCTGGCCAACCTGCTGTCGGTGGCGACGTCGGAGGAGGGCAAGCCGCACGTGCCGGCTAACATGTGCAGCAAGGCCATCGCCGCGCAGCTGAGCCGCACCCAGCGACAGCCTGGTCCAAATCTCACGCTAAGCGGGAAACCTGGGCAAGGCCGATGCTCGGGGCGGCCCGGGTGGGCCAACTAGGAGGAGGAGGAGGAGGAGGAGGAGGAGGAGGAGGAGGGGATCATGATGACGAGGAGGAGGAGGACGACGAGGTGGAGGAGGAGGAGGAGGAGGAGGACAGGGAAGGATGGGGGAGGATGAGGATGGATATGGGTGAGGACGAGGAGGATGATGAGGAGGATGAGGAGGATGATGACGAGGATGGGGGGGACGATGAGTAGGATGAGGACGAGGAGGAGGGGGGAGAGGACGAGGGGGAGGAGGAGGAGGGGGTGGAGGAGGAGGAGGAGGGGGAGGACGAGGACGAGGAGGATGAGGAGGAGAGGAGGAGAGGAGGGGGAGGAGCGGGAGGAGGAAGGTGGGGGGGAGTAATAGGATGATGGGGATGATGCTGATGAGAAGACTGATGGGGAAGACGAGGAAGGGGGAGGAGGAAGAGGAGGAGGATGCCCCCGCCGCCCAAAAGGCTCGGTGATGGAGATGCCACTGGAGCTCCGCCCCGTGGCCATGGGCGGCGAAAGCGGCGACTTCATGGATGACGTCGCCGAGGAGGCCGAGGCCGCTCCTCGTCCTCCTCCTCCTCTTCCTCCTCCTCCTCATCCGCCTCCTCCTCCTCCACCTCCTGCTCCTCCTCCTCCTCCTCCTCCTCCTCCTCATCGTGCACCTCTTCACCCCCATCCTCCTCAGGCGCCCGCTGGCGAGCCCGCCGACGGCGAGGGCGCGCCCGCCGAGGGCGGCGGCGACGCGGTCACCGAGGGCGTCGGCAAGGACACGCCGCCGCGCGGCGAGGACACGCTGCCGCGCGGCGCGAAGCGTGCTGCGGTTGCGGTCTATGCTGGCTCGGGCCCGACCTCGCGCCAGCGTGGCAAGGGCGGGGGGAAGGGCCGCGGCCGCGGCCAGGGCAAGGCCAAAGGCAAGGCCCAGGGCAAGGCCAAAGGCAAGGCCAAGGCCACCGCCAAGGCCGCCGCCCGCTAGGTGCAGGACTCGCGCGGCTGGCGCCCGCTAGGTGCAGGACTCGCGCGCTCGCCAGGTGGCCCGCTAGAGCGCGGTTGGCGCTCGCCAGGTGCAGGACTCGCGCGCTCGCTAGGTGCAGGGCTCGCCCGCTAGAGCGCGTTTGGCGCCCGCTAGGTGCAGGACTCATGCGCTTGGCCAACTCGATTTGTCGCAGCCGCTCGTTGGCTCGCCACGGTTAGCGCCCCGACGCTCGCGCGGGGACAGTAGTAATGGTCTCAGCATTCGCGCAATGTGGGTTGCGCGCGAATGCTCTCGCGCACTATCGCAGATCTGAGCCACTCGATTCGGCAAAGGAAGTCAGCGCCGTCATCATCATCAACATCATCACCATCATCAGCATCATCATCCGCATCATCATCAGCATCATCATCATCATCATCATCATCACCAGCATCATCATCATCACCATCCCCGCCATCATCATTATCATCACCACCATCAGCATCGCCGTCACCTGCTCCATCATCATCGTTCGCACTCCTATCGTGTTGACTATCTCAGGGCCTATCTCAGACCTATCTCGCGAGTTGCGGTCCAGGCTATCTCAGAACTATCTCATGCTATATCAGGCCTATCTCAGGCCTATCTCAGGCCTATCCCACGCCTGTTCGGACCTATCTCACGTCCAATCGGTACCGCCTATCTCAGGGCTATCTCAGGGCTATCTCAGACCTATCTCGCACATCCTTCCTCCGCCCTCCTCAAAACCTTCCCCCATCCGTGCCCCCTCCCCATCCCTCCTCTTCCCATTCATCAACTGCCCCCATCCCCCCACGACGACGACGACGTGAACGATTTTCCCATCGCGCCCCCTTCCCCCGCCCGCGCAGCCCCCGCCCTCGGCGCGCTGCGCCAGGAGTCGGACACTGAGCAGGAGTCGCCGTGCGTGAACTGACTTGGAGGCCCTTCGCCCATCAGTCCCCTCCTCCTCCTCCTCTTCGTCCTCGTCTTCGCCCCCCTCCCCCCCCTCGTCCTCCTCCTACTCCTCCTCCCCGCCGTCCCTCCTCCTCCTCCTCCTGCTTCTCCTCCTTCTCCTCCTCCTCCTCCTCCTCCCCCTCCTCCTCCTCCTCCTCCTCCTCCTTCTCCTCCTCCTCCCCCTCCTCCTGCTCCTCCTCCCCCCCTTCCTCCTCCTCCTCCTCCTCCTCCTCCTCATCATCATCATCATTATCATCCTCATTAGCATCCTCATCATGATCATCATGATCATCATCATCATCATCGTCATCATCATCATCAGCAGCATCAGCAGCATCTTCCTCATCCTCAGCATCAGCACCAGCATCAGCATCATCATCTTCCCTCTCCTCCCCCTCATTTTCCATCTCCTCCTCCTTCCTCCTCGCCCCTCCTCCTCCTCGTCCTCCCTCCCCCCCCCCCCTCCTCCTCCTCCTCCTCCTCCTCATCTCCCCCCCCTCCCCCTCCTCCTCCGCGTCCTTGCGGGCCGCGGGTCTCCGTGACCGGGGGCGTCGGGCGCGCGTCGCCGAGGCTTGCCCGCGCGCGCCGATTTGAAATTGCCCTCACCCCTGTGCTTCTGCTGCCTCTACCGTGTCGACGTTCCCCACTTCTCATCCCTGCCTCCTACATTCCTCGTCCAGCCGAGCACGAGGGAGCCCAATCCCGCCTCCCCCTCCCCTCTCCTCCTCCTCCCTCCTCCTTCTCCTCTCTCCTCCTCCTCCACCTCCTCCTTCCTCCTCCTCCTCCTCCTCTCCTCCTCCTCATCCTCCTCCTCATCCACTCCTCCCCCCCCCCCTCCTCCCCCTCCTCCTTGCAAAATCCTGAAAGCCGCTTCTGGGCAGAATTCCACGCGTTTCGCGCCGCCGATTAGGGCATCAAGGCCAATTGGTTTCGGACAGAGGCAACTGAATACATTGGGAGAGGTGAGGAGGGGAGGAGGAAGGGAGAGGGAAGGTACGTGGCTCGCTGGGACTTCGGGGGCACTCTTGGGCGGGCCTCTCGGGGGGGCCTCCTGGCTGGGCCTCTCGGGCTGCGCGCGCGAAGCGAGCGATGGCCGCCTCGCTCGATGGGCGCGCGTGGAGCGCGCGAATGCACGCGCAGGAGGATGGGGAGGAGGAGGAGGAGGGGGGAGAAGAGGAGGAGGAGGAGGAGGAGGAGGAGGAGGCGCAGCGAGCGATGGCCGCCTCGCTCGATAGGTGCGCGTGGAGCGCGCGAATGCACGCGCAGGAGGAGGAGGAGGCGGAGGAGGGGGGGAAAGAGGAGGAGGAGGAGGAGGAGGAGAGAGGAAGGAGAAGGGGAGGAGGGGAAGAGGAGGAGGGGGAGGGGAAGATGGGGGGGGGAAGGATGGGGCAGGATGAGGACGAGGAGGAGGAGGAGCAGGAGGAGAGGAATGATGATGAGGAGGAGGAGGAGGAGGAATATGCCGAGGAGGGGGAAGAGGGAGGAGGAGGAGGAGGAGGAGGAGGAGGAGGACCAGTACGCAGTTGGATGGAGGAGGAGGAGGGGGAGGGGGTGGAGGAGCCGGAGGAGGAGTAGGAGGCGGAGGAGTAGGAGGAGGAGGGGGGAGATGAGAAAGAGGGGGAGGGGGGAGCGGGGCCCTCAATGACGAATTGGGACTCGCCCTTTCGGTTTAGCCTACTGGCCCGAGGCGTTCCCTTGTTTTTTTGGCACAGGGCCACGCCTCACCGAGGCGCGCGTCGCGCCAGCAGCAGCCATCTTCTCGTGGCTGCTGGCGCCCTCCAGCAGTGTCAGGATGTGCTCGATCTCACGACCGCGGCCATCGCGACCGTTGGGCACGCGAGCGTCGACCAAGGCCTCGAGTTGATGAAGACTGCCCTGACGAACGCGGCTGCGCTCGCCCTCTCGGAAGCTACGGGCATCCTGAACATCATTCGGTCGTCGCCCTTCAACGCAGCTCAGCGTGCCGAGCTCTCCGAGATGGAGAGCTCCAGGGTCCAAGCCCACCAGCTGCAGTCGTCGGCCCGCGACCGCGCCGCTGTTTTCCGCCGTGAGCCAGCGCCCGCGGGCCGACAGAGGGGGCAGACTTGCCATACGTTCCAGACGTACGTGACCGAGAAGATGTGGCAGCTCTTCAAGGAGCCCAGGACCACCTGGGATCAGGCGCTACAGGCCATCGCGCAGAGGTGCGACCAGCTGGGCTTGGTGCACCCGACAGAGCCCACGATGGTTCACATGTGGAGCGTGTTCGCGTTGTGCCGCGTGCAATCCGACGACGAGATCGACGTGGTCCTGGGCCCCGCGGAGTGCCTCAGGAAGAAGAACGACATCGCCGACGAGCTGACTTTGCTGAAGAGGCGGCACAGGTTGCGCCACTGGGGGGTCTTGCAGCACTACCCCTCGACGTGCGAGGAGTTGCGCGCGACGTCGCCCACCGTCTACCAGAAGGCCTACCCTGAAGGGGCTCTTCCAGCAACGTGCCCGCTGAACCAGATCACGATAGAGGTCCTGGGGAGCCGACTGCCCTGTCGAGTTAGCCGCGGCAGCGTGCGGCGGAGCGTGGTGGCCCCCGCTCGTCGCGCAAGCATTGGCAGTCGCGTGGACCGCGCCCTCGGTGACATGAGGCCTGGGGATCCGTACGTGCCTGGGCTCCAGATCTACGGCCGCCACCAGGGCCACAGCGACGAGCAGTTCCGCGACTTCGGCAACCAGCCCGCGGGGCACGGCTATGGGCCCCTGCGCTACGGCGCTCACCACCCGCCGATGGGGCACGACAACCACCGCCGCCTGCCGTTGGAGGGCGCGGGCCCAGGACAGTTCGGCAACCCGCGACGACGGCGACGGCGACGGCGACGGCGACGGCGACGACGACGACGACGACGACGACGACGACGACGACGGTGACGGTGACGGTGACGGTGACGACGACGGCGATGGCGATGGTGATGGTGATGATGTGACGATGATGATGATGATGATGATGATCATGATGATGACGATGATGATGATGGTGGTGGTGACGGCGACGACGACGACGACGACCACCCCTGTGCAAGAGGGCAGCTGCTCGCGCTCGCGGCGGCGCCTGGGAGCTCGGCGGCTTCGCCTGTGGGCTCGGCGTCGTCGGCTGACGGCTCGCCGCCGCCTGGCGTTGGGCTCGAGGGCCCGACGGGCGGCGGCGTCGGCCTTGGCACCGCGCCCAAGGGGGCGCCAGTCGCCAGGAGCGTCGACGACATGTCAAGGGCCATGAAGGATGCGACCCTCAGGAAGAACGTTGGTGCGGTTGGCGGCGTTGGCGAGGCGGGCGACGGCGGCGTCGGCGGGGCGGGCGGCGAGCAGGGCGCCGACGACGACGAGGGCGCGCTTGATCCGAATGGCGCAGAGGGTGCAAACGCTCCGTCCATTCGACACTGGTCGCCGTCGTCATCATCACATCGTCGTCATCATCACCAGCATCATCATCGCCATGACGACGACGATGACGGCGACGACGACGATGATGATGATGATGATGATGCTGATGCTGCTGGTGATGATGATGATGACGACGACGACCAGTGTCGAGTGGACGGAGCGTTTGCCAAAGGCAAGTCGGCCTCTCGCGTGAATCGCCCAAGCGCTGCCATGAGGCGCCCAGCCGCCGCGACGAAACCCGTTTTGAAGATGCCAGCCTCCGCGGCGACGGCCAAGGCCGCGACCGCGAGCAGCCTGCCCAGTCTCAAGTACCCAGGGGCCCCGAAGACCAAGGCCCCGCCTGTTTTGCACAACGGCTATAAAATCGGAGTTGCCTTCGGCTGTTCCCGCCGCCGACGGGCAGGATAGGGGGCAGGGCGTCCGCCCTGAGCTTGCCCCAGGGCCATGACAGACGACGACGACGACGACGACGACGACGGTGACGGCGACGGCGATGGCGATGGCGATGGCGATGGCGATGGTGATGGGGATGGTGATGGTGATGATGATGATGCTGCTGCTGGTGATGATGATGATGGTGATGATGATGGTGATGATGATACTGATGATGAAGATGCCGATGATGATGATGCTGCTGATGATGATGACGATGATGATGATGATGATGATGACGATGATTAGCCAATCGCCTCGGCCACGGTGCAGTGGCTTTACACGTCGCTGGATACGTTCCGCTGGCGCGTGTTCAAAGTCGGTGACAGGGTTGACGCCCCGTTCTCTTTCAGGGTGGAGCCCAAGAAGGCCTGGGCGAATTTGGTTCGCTACGTTCAGCAGGAACGCTGATCGACCCCCGATCGCGCGTCGTTTCACGGCAGGGTTTCAAGACGTCGTCGCGCGCCTAGCTGGGGTTGTTAGGGCAGCCCATGCATGGGGCTGGGCTGCGATGGACTACACGCCCATCCGCGCATATAGAGGCAATGCCCCGTCTTGGCGCCTCGCCGCGGTTCCCGACTCGTGCTCGCGCGCGCGGAGGCTCGCCCCGCGCGCATTGTTCTCGATGAGGCTCGGTCCGCTTCTGGAGTTCCGTGGCTCTGGCAACTCCAGCGCCACTGCGACGCCGAAAACAAGGGCGATGGGGGGGGAGGAGGGCGGGGGGGGGGGTGCGACGAGGAGAGAGGGGGGTGGGGGGGGGGGGCGGAGGAGAAATGAGGGAGAATGAGGATGAGGAGGATGAAGACGAGGAGGAGGAGGAGGGGGGACGAGGAGGATGAGGAGGAGGAGGAGGGGGTTGATGATGATAATGATGATGATGATGATGATGATGCTGATGGTGAGGCTGATGATGATGATGCTGATGATGATGATGATGCTGATGGCGGCGGCGGCGAGGAGGAGGAGGAGGAGGAGGAGGGGGAAGAGGGGGGGGGGAGGAAGAGGAGGAAGAGGAGGAGGAAGAGGAGGAGAAGGAGGAGGAAGATGAATATGAAGATGAGGAGGGGGAGGATGAGAGGGAGGAGGAGGAGGAGGGGGAGGAGGAGGAGGAGGAGGGGGAGGAGGAGGATGGGGGGGGGGAGGATGGCCCAAAGAGGGCTCCAAGGGGTGCCAATCACCAACCCCCCGCGCGCGCGCGACCGTCAGTAGGGACATTGGGGGTATCCCATGGAGCCGCCCAGGGGCCCCAACCGATGCCCTCGGACCCCTCCGAGACTGCTGCGGGTGGCCCCCGAACACGCGCACGCACACACACACGCACACACACGCACACACACACACACCCACACACACACACGCGCATACACACACACGCACGCACACACGCATGGCGCACACACACGCACACACACTCGCACATGTGTATATATAGATTATCCGTGCCACGTGTGCTACCACAAGCTTCCAGACACCCGCGGGGAGCACCACTGGAGCTACCTTCGAGGCACCAGCGGAGAGCACCACTGGAATTACCTTCTACGCTATATATAGATGCGTCTCGTGTGGTAGACGGGCAATCAGTGCAGAAGTATTGGCCTACGTGCGTATACACATATATATATATATGTTGGTTCACACCACCACTCGACCACACTCGCACCACACACACACACACGCACGCACTTCACCACTCGACCACTCCGACCACACTCGCACCGTTCACCACCACCATTCGACCACACACACACACACACGCACACACACGCACGCACATATACCCACACACACACACTCGCACCTATCGGGCGAGGCGGCCATCGCTCGCTTCGCACGCACCTAGCAACCTAAGCCCGAGAGGCCCAACCAGGCGGTCCCCTCGAGAGGCCCACCCACGAGTGCCTCCGAAACCCAAGCGAGCCACGTCCAGCCGAGGCGACGAGGGAGTCCAATCCCCCTCCTCCTCCTCCTTCCCCTCCCCCCCTCCTCCTCCTCCTCCTCCTCCTCCTCCTCCTCCTCCTTCTCCTCCTCCTCCCTCCTCCTCCCCCTCCTCCCCCTCCTCCTCCTCCTCACCACCACCATCATCATCATCATCATCATCAGCATCGTCAGCATCATCATCACCACCATCATCATCATCATCATCAACACCAGCATCAACATCATCATCAGCACCACCATCATCATTATCATCATCAGCAGCAGCAGCATCAGCATCAGCATCAGCATCGGCATCATCATCCACCCACTCCTCCTCCTCATCCTCCTCCTCATCCTCATCCTCATTCTCCTCCACCCCTTTCCCCTCGTCATCCCCCCGCCCTACTACCCCTCGCCCTTGTTTTCGACGACGTCGACGACGACGAAGCAAGCGGCGAGCCTGCGCTGCGACGATGACGACGACGCCGACGACGACGACGACGACGAAGCAGGCGGCTCCACTGAGCCTGCACTGCGACCACGACGACGACGACGACGACGACGCCGAGCCCACTGCGTCGGCCAGTCGGGCTCAGACGAATCGACGCCCTCAGACGCGCTGCGCGCGTCCGAGGGCGAGTTGGGCGCGCGATGACGACGAACGAGGACGAACGAGGACGAACAACGACGAGGAGGAGGAGGAGGAGGAGGAGGAGGAGGAGGAGGAGGACGACGACGACGACTCTGTGCTCCCGCCCGCCTGGCCGCCTCGGACCGCCTAGGACTCCCAGCCGCGAGGAGGATTTGAAAAGGAGGAGCAGGAGGGAGAGGATTAGGAGGAGCAGGAGGAGGAAGAGGAGGAGGAGGATGAAGAGGAGGAGGAGGAGGAGGAGGAGGAGGGGGACGTCGCGGGAATCTGGACAACGTTCACGCCCCGCCAAAAACGAAGGAGAAGGAGGAGGAGGGGGAGGAGGAGGAGGAGGAGGAAGAGCAGGAGGAGGAGGAGGGGGATTCAAAAGGGGACCCATTTCAACATCTCATTGTCTGGATGATGTCTCGAGCGAGAGCCTCAGGGGTAGCACGAGTCGCCTTGGAACCAATTCTGTCGACATCCATTTTGTTCGGTGTGTCTCAAGCGGAACGCCCATCTGGGGAGGAACGTGGCAGAACAGCAACCACGGGTCCGCACTGGCGGTTCCTGGGAAGCTGTCTCCTCTGCCTCCCCTCCTCCTCCTCCTCCTCCCTCCTCCTCCTCCTCCCTCCTCCTCCTCCTCCTCCTCCTCCTCCTCCCTCCTCCTCATCCTCCTCCTCCTCCTCCTCCTCCTCCTCCTCCTCCTCCTCGGCCTCCTCCTCCCCCTCGTCCGCCTCCTCCTCCTCCTCCTCCCCCTCCTTTTCCTCCTCCTCCTCCCGCGGGTCGTTCGAAACGGGTCATATGTAAATTATGAAAAGTTGAAAAAAGTTATGAAAAGTTATGAAAAGTTATGAAAAGTTATGAAAAGCTATGAAAAGTTAGCTGTTTAGTTGTGCGATTATAACAACTTACAAAAAAGTTATATATGATGTTGCTAAATCAGTCCGCAACTTAGTTATAAGTACATGTAATCCGATTTATACATTGCTTAACACGAGATTCCGCGAAGCGAGAACCCTGTGCCCAGGGGGCCCAGGAGGCTCGGTGGGGGTCCCGGCGAGGGTCAGGAGTGGTGGGGGTCCCGGCGAGGATTTTGCTGAGTGGAAGGTCCTTCAAACCGACGAGAACCCTGTGCCCAGAGGACCCAGGAGGCTCGGTGGGGGTCCTGGCGAGGGTCAGGCGTGGTGGGGGTCCTGGCGAGGATTTTGCTGAGTGGGGGGTCCTTCAAACCCACGAGAACCTTGTGCCCAGTGGGCCCAGGAGGCTCGGTGGGGGTCCCGGCGAGGGTCAGGCGTGGTGGGGGTCCCGGCGAGGATTTTGCTGAGTGGGGGGTTCTTCAAACCCACGAGAACCTTGTGCCCGGGGGACCCAGGAGGCTCGGTGGGGGTCCCGGCGAGGGTCAGGCGTGGTGGGGGTCCCGGCGAGGATTTTGCTGAGTGGGGGGTCTTTCAAACCCACGAGAACCTTGTGCTTAGGAGACCCAGGAGGCTCGGAGGGAGTCCCGGCGACGGTCAGGCGTGGTGGGGGTCTCGGCGAGGATTTTGCTGAGTGGGGGGTCCTTGAAACCCACGAGAACCCTGTGCCCAGGGGACCCAGGAGGCTCGGGTGGGGTCCCGGCGAGGGTCAGGCGTGGGGGGGGTCCCGGCAAGGATTTTGGTGAGTGGGGGGTCTTTCAAACCCACGAAAACCTTGTGCTTAGGAGACCCAGGAGGCTCGGTGGGGGCCCCAGCGAGGGTCAGGCGCGGTGGGAGGCGTCGAGATCCCTATCGCGTAGGAGTAGTCTGTGCACAAGGGAGGTCGCCTACGCCTCCGGGGTCGGCGGATTTGTGTGCGAACATACTAGCCATTGCCATCTCGGCGCTTGAGAGCCAGGAAATGTTAATGCCTATCACAGAGGCATTGCTTTCTTGCAGCGTAGTCGGCGTATTGACGGAACTCTGCTCGCGGAGAAGAATCTGCCAACTCGTAGGAGCATTGACCGGCGTGGACTTTTTGCTCGAGTGGAGAGAGGCGTGGCGTCGTGGATACCCAACCGAGCGATTTCAACACTTCAGGGGAACAGAGAGTAGTATAGAAGGTATGGGCTCAATGGCAGTCCAGGCATACGCCTTTGTGTACTCCTCGGTGTACAGTGTTCAAGACCAGCTCGTGATCGTACTCTCTCTCATGAGCTCTGTTGTCGGATACTCTAGCGCCTCTGGTATTGACGTGGGTGAACTCCGTTTTGGCCAGAGATTGGTCGTCCCTCAAGACCAGCGCGACTTCAAAGCTAGGTTTCAGAAAGCCTTGCGCATTGTGCAGCTCACTCGGATTCTCGAGGTCTCGTCCCGTCTTTGCGTGGCGATGTCCTTCAGCGTGGTGTTTCGTCCTTTGGGCGTCATTGCATGGGGCATCTGGAGCGCGTTGTTCACGACAGTGATTTTTCGGTACTGTGGAGAATCCTGGGGCAGCGCAGTGTGGAATGCACTTCAGCCTGCATCGTGGATGGGAGCTGCAGAGCCGTATCTCATGAACCAGGGGCTTGAAAGGCTTTACGGGCGGAACCCAGGTGACACACGTAAGATCATATGGACCTTTAATTTCGCCCACGGCATTGAGTCATTTGCAATGGTTTTGGTTCTGTACCTTTTCAAGCCCGCTGCGGTGATTGATGCGCTTTTACAGGGGCACCAGTCCTACGCGTTCATTTTTGGGCTGCTGGTGACCCCATTGAGTTGGTTGTCGCAGGCATGCGCGCTATGGGCAGGCACCGATCCAGCCCTTCACCGTTTTCAACCACGCGATGACATGGCACGCGAGAGAGAGCCAGTAGATCCAGGAACCGCTGCGAGTGCAAGTGCGTGCTGTCTATAGCTTAGATCCGGAAATGGTCTCCACGGCAGCACGTCGCGTTCAGCATGCGATATGTGCAAGTGTTATGTGATAGTGTGTGACAGCTTTATCGTCAATGGTAGAGGTGGTATAACATCAACTTCAACCACCAGCGACGTGTTGAGTGCGCAAGCTCATGCGGAGTCCATGCGCGGATTTGGGCAGTTCTGGTCCGACCCCCATTGTAGATCCCTCCCAGCCAGCACGCCATCGGCGTAGCCTTCCAGACGTCGCATGCGCCAACCAGCTAGCACGGCCCACCCAGTTTGGGGCAAGTGGCAGCGTCCAAGGGGGGGCCTCGCTCTTGAGGTATACTAGCCGCGCTGTTGCGCCGCGCGTAGTTTGCGGCAGCTTCTGTGGGTACAGTCGGGCAAAAACTTTGGCTTACCGTCAATGCGAATGCACACTGAGAGGAGGAGGAGGAGGAGGAGGAGGAGGAGGAGGACTTCGGCATTGGGGGGGACACGCGACTTCTGGAGGCCTCTTGCCATCGAGGCACGGCCACCGACGTTGAGCCGGCCCTGGAGAAGGGGTCGGGAGCTAGAGGGCCCACGTATCGTCAAACATCACGACGTCGGAGGTCCGGATTTTTTCTTCGCGCGAGTCTCATGCTGTAGAGGCGCGGACCAACCCGCATGCCATAACGAGGGCACGTGCGCCAATTTTTGCCAGCGTGCGCCTCAACCAGTAGGTTCTGACCTTCTCGATTTGCTCCGCAAGCGGCATGGTCGCTTAGGGTGCTGTCGGCGGCTTGTAGAGGGCATCGCGACCGCATTTTGTGTGCCTTGCCCGTGCACGTTGCCTGTCTGGATGGATGGAGAAAGGACACGCATCAAGCCAAGAGGAGGAGGAGGAGGTGGAGGTGGAGGTGGAGGAGGAGGAGGAGGCCACCTGTGCGCGCTACCACTATCTGCTCCCAGCCCTCGCGCAGCGAGGGTGGCCGCGTCGCCAGCCGCCTCGCCAGCGTCCTCGCCGGCGGCATGGTGGTGGGATGGCGGTCGTGCTCGTGCCCTCCCGTCCTTCGCTCGCGGCCTCTCCTCCTTCTTCCTCATGCAGTGCCTGTTGGCACATGTCAGGAGCTATATCTAGGTCGGCGCACACGCGCTGCGCTCTTGGCCATCTCGCTCCAGCGCTTCTTCCCGAGGAAGGCTTCCAGTAGCCCGCTCGGCTGCTCTCCTGGCCGCCGTGCTTCAGCGAGCGTCTCTCGAGTAGGTAACTGCACTGTGGCGACAGTGGGGAGATGTGCCATGGGATTTCGAGGTGGTGTTTTTTTCCCAACCACGTGCCAACGTTGAGCCTGGGGGAGGGGGTGTTTATTAACAGGGAGCAGTGAGAGAGAAGAAAAAACGCGTTATACCGTACCACCTAAGCCCAGAGGGCTGGTGGGATTCGGAGGGTGTACCGGGCGCCTTGATTTTTGTTGACGTGGGAGCTTCAGCGTGTGGCGTCTTATCCAGCAGTTCGTGGCACCGCTTCTGCAGTACATGGAGCGTCGAACCCCGTTTTGCTCACACTTGAGGGCCGCGCACGAGGCGCAGTTCTGTGTGTGCTGTCTGAGCAAAAACAAAAATTATTCACTGCGTGGAGCTCCCCATATGTGCATCTACTCGCATGGACCTGTCCGCCGTGAATGTCTAGGCGCAAGAGCTTTCGAATATTAACGGGCTTCAGTTGTGACGGTCTGGACATCAATCTAACTGCGAATGAATTGGAGTGTGAATGAGCCTCAGTAGTACGAGCGCGTCTCTGTGCATGAGCCTGGGGCCTCCTGGGGCCTCCTGAAACCTACTGGGGCTTCCTGGGGTCTCCAGGAGCCTCTTGGGACCTCCTGGGACCTCCTAGGAAGGTTTCGTGCCCCAGGGGAGGCGCAATCTATAGCAACAGACGTACATAAAACATTGCGGATTAGAGCCACAGGAGAAGGGCAATCTATAGGAACACGCGTAAAACACCAAGGACTCGTGCCCCAGGAGAGGCCCAATACATAGGAACATGAGTAAAACATTTAGGATTGTGTACACAGGAGAAGGACCATCTATAGAAACATACGTAGAACATCAAAGAATCGTGCTCCAGGTGAGGCCCAATCGATAGGAGCATACGTAAAACACATGGGATTGGAGCCACTCCTGTTGCCTTCTGAGGCCTCCTGCTCCTGGGGCCTCTCGGGGCCTCCTGTTGCCATCCGAAGCCTCCTGGCGCTTCCTGTTGTTCCCCATATCCTAAGATGGGGTTCTTGTTATTACTTGGACGCCTCCTACTCCTCCTCCTTCCTCCTCCTCTTTTCTCCTCCCCTCCTTTCGGACATACTCAGACTTGCTCATACACAGACTTACTCATACTCAGACTTACTCATACTCAGACCTACTCATACTCAGACTTACTCACACTCAGACATACTCATATACAGACTTACTCATACACAGACTTACTCATACACAGTATTAGTCATACCCAGACGTACACATACACAGACTTACTCATACACAGACTTACTCATACTCAGCACCCCTAAGGGGAGCCGCCAGGGGTGGTTGCACGGGCTCGTTCGCGGCCATTTTGTGGGGATGTCTCAGGCGGTTTGCTTGTTTCTGTGCCCAACATCCTTCGCTTTCGGAGCAGATTTGGAGGATGTCTCGAGCGAGGCGCTCATTTCAGCACCCCTAAGGGGAGCCGCCAGGGGTGGTTGCACGGGCTCGTTCGCGGCCATTTTGTGGGGATGTCTCAGGCGGTTTGCCTGTTTCTGTGCCCAACATCCTTCGCTTTCGGAGCAGATTTGGAGGATGTCTCGAGCGAGGCGCTCATTTCAGCACCCCTAAGGGGAGCCGCCAGGGGTGGTTGCACGGGCTCGTTCGCGGCCATTTTGTGGGGATGTCTCAGGCGGTTTGCCTGTTTCTGTGCCCAACATCCTTCGCTTTCGGAGCAGATTTGGAGGATGTCTCGAGCGAGGCGCTCATTTCAGCACCCCTAAGGGGAGCCGCCAGGGGTGGTTGCACGGGCTCGTTCGCGGCCATTTTGTGGGGATGTCTCAGGCGGTTTGCCTGTTTCTGTGCCCAACATCCTTCGCTTTCGGAGCAGATTTGGAGGATGTCTCGAGCGAGGCGCTCATTTCAGCACCCCTAAGGGGAGCCGCCAGGGGTGGTTGCACGGGCTCGTTCGCTGCCATTTTGTGGGGATGTCTCAGGCGGTTTGCTTGTTTCTGTGCCCAACATCCTTCGCTTTCGGAGCAGATTTGGAGGATGTCTCGAGCGGGGCGCTCATTTTCACCCCCCAGGTGGGCCAGATTTTGAGGATGTCTCGATCGGTTTGCTAGTTTTGGTGGCCAGGCTCGTGGGCGCAGATTCTTCTCAGGATGCCACAGGAGGCTCCAACAGGCTCCAGGAGGCTCCAGGAGACCACATGAGGTCCCAGGAGGCATCAGGAGGCCACAGAAAGACTCAAGAGGCTACAGGATGTCCCAAGAGGCTCCAGGAGGCCCCAGGAAGCTCCAGAAGGCTTCAGGAAACCACAGGAGGCCCCAGGAGGCAACAGGAAGCGCCAGGAGGCCTCGGAAGGCAACAGGAGGCCCCGAGAGGCCCCAGGAGCAGGAGGCCTCAGAAGGCAACAGGAGTGGCTCCAATCCCATGTGTTTTACGTATGCTCCTATCGATTGGGCCTCACTTGGAGCACGATTCTTTGATGTTCTACGTATGTTTCTATAGATGGTCCTTCTCCTGTGTACACAATCCTAAAGGTTTTGCTCATGTTCCGATGTATTGGGCCTCTCCTGGGGCACGAGTCCTTGATGTTTTACGCGTGTTCCTATAGATTGCCCTTCTCCTGTGGCTCTAATCCGCAATGTTTTATGTACGTCTGTTGCTATAGATTGCGCCTCCCCTGGGGCACGAAACCTTCCTAGGAGGTCCCAGGAGGTCCCAAGAGGCTCCTGGAGACCCCAGGAAGCCCCAGTAGGTTTCAGGAGGCCCCAGGAGGCCCCAGGCTCATGCACAGAGACGCGCTCGTACTACTGAGGCTCATTCACACTCCAATTCATTCGCAGTTAGATTGATGTCCAGACCGTCACAACTGAAGCCCGTTAATATTCGAAAGTTCTTGCGCCTAGACATTCACGGCGGACAGGTCCATGCGAGTAGATGCACATATGGGGAGCTCCACGCAGTGAATACTTTCCTGGGACCTCATGTGGTCTCCTGGAGCCTTCTGGAGCTTCCTGGGGCCTCCTGGAGCCTCTTGGGACATCCTGTGGCCTCTTGAGTCTTTCTGTGGCCTCCTGATGCCTCCTGGGACCTCATGTGGTCTCCTGGAGCCTCCTGGAGCCTGTTGGAGCCTCCTGTGGCATCCTGAGAAGAATCTGCGCCCACGAGCCTTGCCACCAAAACTAGCAAACCGACCGAGACATCCTCAAAATCTGGCCCACCTGGGGGGTGAAAATGAGCGCCTCGCTCGAGACATCCTCCAAATCTGCTCCGAAAGCGAAGGATGTTGGGCACAGCAACAGGCAAACCGCCTGAGACATCCCCACAAAATAGCCGCGAACGAGCCCGTGTAACCACCCCTGGCGGCTCCCCTTAGGGGTGCTGAAATGAGCGCCTCGCTCGAGACATCCTCCAAATCTGCTCCGAAAGCGAAGGATGTTGGGCACAGAAACAGGCAAACCGCCTGAGACATCCCCACAAAATGGCCGCGAACGAGCCCGTGCAACCACCCCTGGCGGCTCCCCTTAGGGGTGCTGAAATGAGCGCCTCGCTCGAGACATCCTCCAAATCTGCTCCGAAAGCGAAGGATGTTGGGCACAGAAACAGGCAAACCGCCTGAGACATCCCCACAAAATGGCCGCGAACGAGCCCGTGCAACCACCCCTGGCGGCTCCCCTTAGGGGTGCTGAAATGAGCGCCTCGCTCGAGACATCCTCCAAATCTGCTCCGAAAGCGAAGGATGTTGGGCACAGAAACAGGCAAACCGCCTGAGACATCCCCACACAATGGCCGCGAACGAGCCCGTGCAACCACCCCTGGCGGCTCCCCTTAGGGGTGCTGAAATGAGCGCCTCGCTCGAGACATCCTCCAAATCTGCTCCGAAAGCGAAGGATGTTGGGCACAGAAACAGGCAAACCGCCTGAGACATCCCCACAAAATGGCCGCGAACGAGCCCGTGCAACCACCCCTGGCGGCTCCCCTTAGGGGTGCTGAGTATGAGTAAGTCTGTGTATGAGTAAGTCTGTGTATGTGTACGTCTGGGTATGACTAATGCTGTGTATGAGCAAGTCTGTGTATGAGTACGTCTGTATATGAGTATGTCTGAGTGTGAGTAAGTCTGAGTATGAGTAGGTCTGAGTATGAGTAAGTCTGAGTATGAATAAGTCTGTGTATGAGCAAGTCTGAGTATGTCCGACAGGAGGGGAGGAGAAAAGAGGAGGAGGAAGGAGAAGGAGCAGGAGGCGTCCAAGTAATAACAAGAACCCCATCTTAGCATATGGGGAAAACACATTCGAATTAAGAGGCTGTTCAGCATTGACGTCTGTAGGTACGCGCTTCGTTTTTCATCGGCCACGATTGAGTGTCAGTGCGCACACCCGTCGGTCACGTTGTTCGCATTGTCTCACCGTTCACCCCTGAATCCAGTAGAGTCCGCTCAGGGACGGCTCTGATCATCCGTTCTCTGCGGCAGGAGCGGGAGAGCAAAGAGAAGGCTGACAAAGAAAGAGAAGCAAAGAGCAAGCGCGAGGTGCCGATGCCGGATCTCTGCAGCTCGAGGAGATTTGGACATGCAGCCAGGGCGTTGAAATAAGGACCACCCATCTTGGGCTGACGAGGGGCTCCGGTTTTCGGACCGTTTCGCAGGTCCAGGTCGCGGACCCATTCCTGGCTGAGGCTCGCCGTGGCCAGAAAAATCATTTCTTTCCTTCTTCCGCGCTCCCTGTGGTGCACGATGGCTGGGTTGTCTCTGCGGATCTGCTATGCGCCCAGTGGCGCCTTGGAGGTGGGAGTTTCGCGGAGATGCGGAGCGACCGCGGGCAACGGCACACATGTTCCACGAGAGTTTGAACTCCGTGTAAGCGAGGCTTTTTGTTCTGCATGCAGACGGAAGAGGATGCCACTCCACGAGCGTGAGATGAATGTGGTGATCGTTCTCGCCCTGCTACTCATATTTGCGGAGGCAGCAGCCAGATTGGCAGCCACAAAGAAGAAAGTTGAGGAAAGCAGCGAAGATGAAGAAGAGGAGGAGGAGGAGGAAGAAGAGGATGAGGCGCAGGAGGAGGAGGAAGAAGAGGAGGAAGAGGGGGATGACGACAGCGAGGAGAGCGAGGAGCCCAGTGAGAAGGTGGCGAAGAAGGCGAAGCAGGCGGATATCGTGCATGTTGTTCTTCTGGGGCGTCTCCTCCCCAAGGGGGCGGCTCACAGCTTTCTGTCTGTCCGGCTAATTCGGCTCAGTACCCATCGGTCGTTGAAAGTGGGTATTTTTGGATTCCCAGATTCCAGTCTACTTTAGGCGATTTCCTCTTTCAATGATCGAGTGTCTTCACTGTTTCCGTCCTCTTCTTCAGGGGGCGCGCGGAAGCCTAACCTACTTTCACCGCCTTCCTACTTCATGTTCCTACCTGCTTCTTCCGACCGATGGGTACGTCATCGCTAACACCACGTAGCGTCAACGCGATCATACTGGGAAGCCTTGCTCCCGGCATGTGTGTTTTCACATTCACATTGTCGTCACCTGGAGTGTTCTACGATTGCATGGTGATCTTGTTTGCCGCCGCTACCGGTATCTCAGTGGATTGGGACAAGCACGAAGATGAGTTCGTGAACTTCTCATGGGGATGAGTGGTGAGCGCACCGCGCTGATTTTTCTGGGTCCTTTCCGAAGGGCCAGCGTGCTCGTGCGCGTTTGTCGCCCATCTTTGGGTCGCCCTCTACGGCGATGACAGTTTGTTCGTTCGTTCGTACCGGCATCAGACAATGCGATTTCTTGGTTGGTGCCAGCGTCAGTTTGAGAGCGAGCCTGTCTGGGCTGCACGTGTGCGAGCTCCGAACAATCAATCAGACGTTGTAGCGGCAGGAGTGTTACACCGGGGCTCACGGTCGAGACCCCTTCAAAAACATTGTCGTTTTTATCGAAGGTTTGCAGACCGCCAGCGCCGCCTTTTGGGAACGCCCGTGTCGTGAAAGTCGGCCAATTAGCTTTTCGGTTGCCCCGAATAGCCACACGCTGGAGCGGACTGTTTCTGCCTCGCTGCCGACGGAAAATGTCATGAAAGTGCGGCTGCATTACTGGACTGCGTGTTCCCCAACGGTTGGGCAACCACTGGGAGAACAGCAGGGAGGGCCGTCTCAGGGGTCCATTTGAGAATCTGTTCTGACTTCTTGGGCCTTCTTGGGGGCCTTTGTGCAATCCCAGGGCAGACTCAGGGCGTTCCTGGGCCGTCTGGCGCCTTCCGCGGCCGTCGTGGGGTCTTCGTGGGGCCCTCTTGAAGCAGTTGGCCGTCCTGGGACGACTCTTGGGCCGTCTTGCACTCCTGGGCCGTCTTGGGGCCCTGAGGGAAAAACCACCCGCACCCGACAACTGGCGTTTGTTAAACGGCCCTAGGCGTTCACTAAACAGCCTTGCCCTGTTCGATTCCTTCCGTGGGTGCGTTCGCTAAACGGCTTCGCGTGTCGGGTCAATCATTATGGGGGTGGATGTTATGCCCTCTACTTTGGGTCCTATTAGGGCCATCTGGGCCATCTTGGGCTGGTCTTGGAGTCTTCTTGGGCCAGCTCGGACGCTCTGCAGACCAGAGATGTCAGAGTCCGAAGCCACCGTTATCAACCGATTGCTTCTTCAATGTGTCTAGCATTTGGGGCCGACCCCAAGCGCCCCCAAGACGGCCAGAGAGACCGTCAAAAGAGCGTCTTGGACCCTCTTGGCGCCATTTTGGAAGCAATAGTGCATTTTCGAGCTGTCTTTGGGCATCTTGGACGCCATCTTAGACCATACTGGACGTATGGGAGGCCCGCGTGAGCGAACAGCATCTGTGTATTGCGGTGTGTTCCAGGGTCGGTTGGTTGGGTCGAAGGCCACCGAGAATATTTTGGAATTGCCAGACAGTATCGAGGACGCCTACGGCGAATCACCGCCGCCCCCCGTCTTTTTGGAAGCGCTTATGCGGTTTAGCGTTGTAGGCGTGGCTCGGCCAATCTATCGGAGTATATCCCCTAACAGTCATGGGAATCCCCTCGGGGAGCACGCGGGGGAGAAAGAATAATAACAAAGAAGAAGACGAAGAAGAAACATACGAGGAAGAAGAAGACGAAGAAGACGAAGGAGAGGAGAGGGAGGAACAAGGAGGAGGTTTCTCGGGAGCCTAGTAGGGCACTCGTGGGATCTACTAGAAGTTTCTTGGGGGCATATTGAAGGCCTCTTGGGAGCATGTGAGAGCTTCTGGCAGCATTTGGGAGCTGCTTGGGGGCCTCGTTGGCCGTCGTATGGCGTTCCTGGCACGTCTGACGCAGTCGGAAGCCATCTTGGGGGCTTCATTGGATTGTTTCTGGCCTTTCTCACAGCGATCCAGGGCCGTCGTGAAGGTCATCAAGGGCGCCTTAGAGGACTCTTGGGCGTCTTGGGGCCGTCTTGGGGGCCACTTGGGCCGAAATGCGGCCATCTTGGAGGCCTCTCGGGCGCTCTGGAGGTGATCTCGGAGGCTTCTTGGGCCGCCTTGGCTGTCGGAAAGGCGAAATGGAGGCAAATGCCAAATTCCTTCAAACATTTATGGGGAATCAATGAGTTGAGGCGTAGCCCAAACTTGTTTCTCGCGAGGTAAACTGATTGAACTGCACTGAGCCTGAACTGAACAGACTGGTCGCGCCCGTTAAGCGACGGTTTTATTATCCGCCACCGAGGGCGCAACCTATGGCGCAACCGATAGGAGACGGTATTATTCTCGGCCGCCGAGGGCGCAACCTACGGCGCAACCGATGGGAGACGCTTTTATTCTCAGCCGCCGAGGGCGCAACCTACGGCGCAACCGATAGGGGACGGTTTTATGTTCGGCCGCCGGGGGCGCAACTTTTTTTGGCGCAGCCGATGGGAGACGGTTTCATGGTCGGCCGCCAAGGGCGCAACTTATGGCGCAATTGATAGGAGTCGGCTTTGCCGCCAAGGGCGCAACCCATGGCGCAAGCGATAAGAGACGGACGCTTTTATGGTCGGCCGCCAAGGGCGCAACCTATGGCGCAACCGATAGGCGACGGTTTGTGTTTGTCTCGGCCGCCGAGGGCGGAACCTATGGCGCAACCGATAGGAGACGGTTTTCCGCTCGGCCGCCGAGGGCGCAACTTACGACGCAGCCGATAGGGGACGGTTTTATGTTCGGCCGCCGGGGGAGCAACCTTTTTGGCGCAACCAATGGGAGACGGTTTTATTCTCGGCCGCCGACGGCGCAACCTAGGGCGCAACCGATAGGTGACGGTTTCACCTTCGGCCGCTGAGGGCGCAACCTATGGCACAACCGATAGGAGACGGTTTCATTTTCGGCCGCTGACGACTTCGGCGACCTCAGCAGCGACGGCCTCACGGTGCGGAAGGTCAAGGGCCACGCGACTTTCAAGGAGGTGGACGAGGGCAAAATCACATTCCGACGCCGGCGAGGCAACCACGAAGCTGACCGAGCGGCGAAGTTTGTCACGGACCACTTTAGAGCGCCAGAGCAGGCGCGCGAGGCCAGGAAGACAAGAGCGCTCACCTTGGACGGCGCGGTCTTCTGGGTGTCGCAAGCCGGCGCCGAAGCTGCTGATCTCAGGATCGACTTTCGCGACAAGTACAGGGAGCCTCAGTCCAAGGGCCCCAGGCTCTACACCACCAAGCACGAGCTGGTCAAAATCGAGGGCGGAGTCGAGGGCGTCCAGGCGCTCCACTGCCTGCGGTGCCTGCGGTCGGCCTTCACTGACATCTCGACCAAGAACCTCCCAAGGCAGGACTGCACGCCGAAGGCCTTCGCTCCCGACGCCTACACCAGCGGGGGCAAAAAGCGGCCGTGCGCCTCGGCCCTGGCGCACGCTGGAGCCGCCGCGGTGGCGGTAGCAGCAGCCCGCCGCTTCGTGGAGGACGAGTGCCAGCCCACCCACGACAGCGGGGAGGCGAGCAGCAGCGCGGCGGGTTCCTCCCTCGTTCAGCATCGTGGCGAAAGCCAGATTCTGGGATCCATCGGTGACGGTGACCTGCGTGCTGACGAGGAGCCGCCGTCGGCGGGCTCCTCCCTCGTTCAGCATCGTGGCGAAAGCCAGATTCTGGGATCCGTCGGTGACGGTGACCTGCGTGCTGACGAGGAGCCGCCGTCGGCAGGCGACGGGGGCGCCGTGGCCCAGCCTGCTGCGCCGCTGCCCAGCGGCTCTGGCTCGCTCGACGCGGACGGAGGCGGCCACGACCTGCGCACGTACTTCGGGTACCGCGCCTGCCTGAAGTGCTACGCCGCTACGCCCACGCGAAGGAGGTGAAGGGCAAGTGCAGAGGGCTCGGCACGGCCTGTGCCCCAGCGCTCAAGCCCAGCGCCCAGGCTGAGCGCAGAAGGAAGGCTGAGAAGATCATGAGAGGAGTGGCTCCTTCGGGGAGGTCACTCACGTGATGGCGTCGCGGCGGGCTCCACTTCTTCTGAGCTGCCGCCCGCGACGCCTGCTGCGTCGCCGCCGCTCTGCCCTGTCGAGTTGCCGCCGTTTGCGGCGACTCCAGAGGCGGCCAACAGGGCTGCCGTGCGGTCCGCGGCGCAGGAGCTGGACGTGCGCGCTGCGCGAACTCAGGCTGCAGGGGAAAAAAACTTCGGCCGCTGACCCCAGAGAAAAACTATGGGGTCATGCAACGTACCACGCAGGCAACGCATCCACGGCATGTTGTAGATTCCATCATCATGAAAAGATTCCAGCGCTGAATTGTGCCTGCTCTTGGTGTCACCTGTGGCTAATACGTGTGAATATCGGCGGCCACGGCCGATCTCTGAACTAAATGTGCGAATTGGACTCAGGACAAAATTCACGCCCTCCGCGTGGTTCTCGCGTCCACGTCACGTCGACAGACTTCGAGCGCGCGCGTTTCATTTCGCAGTCCTGCAGCGTCAGGATGTCTACCCACTCGCATGCAGCATCCTGTCAACGAGGCGCCCTGCGTTTCGTTGCGTTTCGACAGGCTCGGGGCGTCCCGGTTCGAGCGCGACCCGCGCTTACTTCGCCGCGGACGCTCCCGCGCTTCCAGCCGCTTGAAAATATCGCGGCGGCGATCCCGCTAACTTGCGATTCCTTTCTTGAGCGCGAGCTCAATCTCTTAAAGCTACGTCCGTGGCGCCTTGCGTACGCGTGCTTTGCGCATGCACGCGCGAGAGAGCAGAAGCGCACTGTCACATTCGAGCGACGCGCGGCTTCGCTCCAGCAAAGTACGCCAAATGGGCAGTCTCACGCGCCGGGCAAAGCCTGCAAAAGGCTTTCGTCTGTCCTATCCCCCCTCCGCCCACTTCTCCTTCCTTTTCTCATCGACGTAAGGGCCCCCAGTCCCCTCTGGCGCCCTCCGCTTGTTTGGGTGGTCCATTCAGGTCGCATGGGGTGATTAGGGAAGGGTTTGGGTCTTCTTTGCCCAAACAGCTTGTACCCCGTCGCCACCAGGGGAGGGGGTGTGCCCCGTTCCTTCAGATGGGCGTGCACCCCCAACCAGGAGCTCTCGACCCCATCCCGCGCCCTTTTTCCGTCCCTTCCCTCCTCCCCCCCTCGCATTCCATTGCCTTCGGCATGTCCGCCATCGGCTGCCCTGCCGGACACATGCTATCGATCTCAGGCCCCGACGCACATCGGAACAGTGGGATTTGGCGAGTTTCGCATCAATCGTTTTTTTTTTTTTTACCGATGCCGATGGCGCAACCTCTGGCGCGGTCCTAGACGAGGACGACGCGGAGGAGCTGGAGCAGGAGAAAAACGCGGAAGAGGAGGAGGACGACGACGACGATAGGGACAGGGAAGCGGACGGGGAGCAATACGAGTAGTACGAGGACGAAATGTGCGCATTCGAATGCGTGCGGGGCTACGGCCGATTTATGCTCGCCGTTAGGGCTGGCAGCGAGTTGTCTTGTGATTTGGGCCTCTTCGGGCCCTCTGGGAGGACCTCGCGGAGGCCATTTGGCCAGTTTTGAAGGCCTCTTGGGGCCACTTGGGGCCGTTTGGGTGGTTTTTTTGGGCAGACCTGGAGGCATCTGCGACCTTCGTGGGTCGTCTTGGATGCCATTTTAGACCATCTTGGGCGAAATTCGAGGCCAATTTGGCCTCGCCGTCTTGGAGGCCATCGAAGCCGTCTTTGAAACGTTGGTTGCGCAGCGGCGGAGCCTTCCAGGTGGCCGGCGGCATGGACCGAAGCTTCAGGGAGAGGTGTTTGGGGAGAGGAACCAACACCAAACCGTAGGATCTAGCACGCCAGGCACCCATGTGATAAATCAACGGGGGTGGCGGATCGACTTGCCTTCCCATCCTGCCACCGTGCCTGGGTTATGGGTGTGAAGCCTATTGGATGTTCGTTGGGATATCGTGGGAGGTTTTTCGGGGCCCTCTTTGAGGCAGTTTGGACGCCCCTTGGGGGCCGTTTTGGGACCTCCTGGGGCATCTTGGGGGCCGTTTGGGGCCTCCCGGTGCCTCTTTTGGGCCTCTTGGGGCCTCTTTTGGACCTCTTGGGGATCTCTTGGGGGGGCCCTTGGCCGAAGAGCATCTGCTGCACTGCCAAGGTCCAGAATGCCAACGCCCGCTCCGCAGGCCGTGCGGTTAGCGGATCAGCGGCCGAGCACCGCCGCCCTGCCGTTTTGAAGCGCGGGTGCGGGGAAGCGTCAGAGCGAAAGGCGGCCATGCTGCCGCCAGCTTGTGGGGGAGGTGGGACGGGGCGGGCCTGCCCAGGGGGTTCGGAAGCCCCCCCCGGGCCTTCCGAGAAGTTGTCAGATCCTTCGTTTTGAGGCGCGTGCGTGGTGAAGTGTCGGGCGAAGGCGTGGCCAGAATGGCGGACTGCGTGCCCCCGCTGCAGCTCGGCGGCGGGCCTTCTCAGAGGGCTCGGAAGCCCCCTGGCCGTCCCAGAAGTTTTCTGAGCCCCCCCCGAAGGCGCAGAACATCTCTCAGAAGGCCGGAGGGCTTCTGAGAAGCCCCGCCGCCTTCTGAGAAGGGTTCTCTTTCTCGCTTCCCCTCGCTCGCTCGCCGAGCCATATTTGTGGACTGCGCGCTCCCCCAGCGCTTGGGGTAACCACTGAGGTAACACTGGGGAGGGGCCCTCTCTGGCCATCTTGAGGCCCTCTTGGTGCCACTGGGCCTTCTTGGGGGCCTCTTGGGGCTGGAAGATGGGGGGAAAGAGAGAGAGAGAGAGAGAGAAAAAAAAAAAAAAAAAAGAGAGACGATGGAGGGGGAAGAGGGGAGCGATGACGGGAGGAATTGGATCAACAGGAGGATGCGAGTGATGAGGGCAGGGGGGGCAGGGTAGAAGGAGGATGAGGCGGGAGCAGGAGGGGGGAGGAGGGAGGAAGAGGGAGGAGGGAGGAGTTGCAGGGGGAGCACGGATGTCGTGGAGTCGCAAGGGTGCCGCGCGGCGGCATTCGTCGCAGGCTGCCGTCAAGAAGAAGGCGTCAACGAAGGACCACAACTATCCCATCGACCATCTTGTTTGTTACAGCTATGGGAAGTCGTTAAGCCCACAGAGCGGGAGTCACGGTGGACCTCCAAAGGGCCTTGAATACGCACATATCGCAATACATTGAGCGCACATTTGTATGACTTGGACCTTGGTACGGCCGAACACCTTGAGGTTCAGCTGGGGCCTTCACGGGTCTCTCCTGAGCTCGCTGGGGCTTCTGGAGCCTAGTGAGGCCATCTTGACCTTCCCTGGAGGGTACGGGGGTCGCTTTGGTGAGTTCGGGGCCCGCATGGGGGCGTCTTGGGGCCATATCGGGGCTACATTGGCGTGTCTTGGGGCCCTCCGGGTCTGCGGTGGCCTCTTCGGGGGGCACTCCTGCCTCGTATTGGTGCTCTTGTGGGTTGTCGTGTGGTCCTCCTCGGCCGTCCTGGAGCCAACGTGGGCGTCGTTTGGGCAGTCTTGGGGCGCCCTTGGGGGCCTGTTGGGCCGTCGTCGACGTTCTGAAATCATGTTGGCCTCCGTGGATGCTGCTTGGGAGTCCTCGTAGAGCCTCTAGGGGCTTCTCGGGAACTTCTTCGGCGTCTTGAGTGTCTCATGTCTCATGACTCGAGTCTCATGTCTCTGGAGGCCTCTTAAGGCTGTCCGAGCCCTTGATAGACCATCGTTGACCCATAGTGAGCCGTCTTGGCGCCGCCTGGTGATCAGATGGATCGGTGTTGTCTGTTTTACGCGGCCAAGACAACCCTTGCTCCGACCTGCCACTCCGAGCAAGGGTTTCGCTGGTCGTGTTGAACAGACAGACTACTCGTCGAGTGGCAACGCAGGCAGGCGGAACAAATACAATGTCATTCCACTCATCACATGCAGCACAGAGGGGGGAGGGCATGATACAGTTCGGCTATATTCATCTCATGGCATCGCAAGGCGGCGGGCAACATGTTCGTCTACTCCACTCGTCAAGTGACAACGCAAGTGAGCGGAACACATTAGATTCAGTTTCATCTGTTAGTTGGCAACGCAGACAGCGGAACAAAACACATATTATTACACGTTGCTCCACTCGTTCACTCGACCGTTCCCATGGAAGCCCCAGGGGGGCAACAAACATACTAATCTACATATGCCCGCCGCATGGCAATGCAGAGGTCGACGACCTGGGTCCAGGGCCAGCGGACTCGTCACATGGCAGTTCATGGGAAGAGCATTATGTTATTTCTTCTGGTCACGTGGCAGCGCAGGCAGGGAGACAAAAACAGGATTCCATTGTACCCATCGCATGGGAATGGGATTGCAGAACAAACAACGATTTCATTGCGCCCGTCACGTAGCAACCCAGTTGACGAGAAGCAACACCGTTTGATGTTACGAAGACCCCTAATTGGAGTTGCGCCGGGTTCATTGTTTTACTCGTCATGTGCCAATCCAGGGGGAGCGAACAAATATTATCCCACATTACTCGCCGAATGGCAACGCCGCGCTCGGCGAGCATAGTCCAGCGCCGGCGTCTGGCGACCATGGCCCATAGGTCCGAGACGGGAGCCCAGCGTGCAGCGTCCTGGGCCTCGGTCTGGGGCCCAGCGCCCACCGGCCCATTTTCCATCCAGCGCACCCCTTACACGGATCTTGCCCTCTTGTTTTTGGTGTCTTGTTATTTCGGCATCAAATGGAAGCATAATCCACACACACACACATTACATTGCTTTGAACACCTCACCAATCTTGTATGTAATTCGAACATTGTTCATTCGTTTTTCCTTTATATGTGTATTCACAGAGGTGCACCAGCATATGTAAATGTATGCGTAAGTATATATACTTTGATACACTTACAGGTACACATGCACACTCATACACATATAATTATGTATGTGTATATATATATATATACACGCACATGTGTATCTACAAATGTGTGTACATACATCTGAATATATGTATCGAAGACGCCTACGGCGAATCACTGTTGCCCCCTGCCTTCTTGGGAGGGCCTGTGCGGTCGAAAGTTAGGCTGGAGCTATCGGACCATGTTTCCCCCAGCTGTCATTGAAACCTTTCGGGAACACTTGAGGGCGAGGAGAATGAGAAGAAGAAGAAGAAGAAGAGGAAGAAGAAGGAAATGGGAGTACGAGGAGGAGGAGCAGCAGCAGGAGGAGAAGAACGCCTCTTGGAAGCCTCTTGGGGCACTCTTGGGGTCTCATGGGAGCTTCCGGGGGGCCTCTTGTCGGCCTCTTCTAAGCCTCCTTGGGCCTCTTGGGAGCCTTTGGGGGCTTGTTCGGGACCCCGTTGGCCATCTTAAGGCGTTCCTGGCCTGTCTGACGCCGTCGGAAGACGTCTTGGATGCCTCTCTGAACCGAATTGGAGCCCTCCTGGGGCGCTTCAGGGCCGTCTTGGAGGCCATCTTGGAGCTCTTCGAGCCCTCTTGGGCCGTCTCGGTGCCTGCTGGGGGCTGTCTTGGGAGGCTCTTGGGCCGTCCTGGGGCCATCTTGGAGACCACTTGGGAGATCTTGGGGCAGTCTTGGGAGCCTCTTGGGCGGTCTCAGGCGTCTTTTGGGCGCTTCGTGGTCCGTCTGAGGCTCTTTTGGACAATTTTCGCGGTCTTGAAGGCATATTGGGCCTTCTTGGAGGCCATCTTGGCGCTATATTTGGCTTTCTTGGGGCCATCTCGTCCGTCTTGGAGGCTTCTTGACCACCTTGGAGGCCATCTTGAAGCCATCTGAAGCGAACCAGCCGACAAGACAGCCAGCCGGCGTTCTGTGCCGAAAGCCCAGGGGGATTTTTAAAAGAACGAAGGATTTTTCAGAATGTCCTGCATGCTACGCAACCATGTGGCGGGCCAACAGCCAACAGGAAGCATCTTGGAGCCGTTCAGGGACCAAAAAGACCGTTCCGGAACGCTCATTTTGGTCCCCGCTGGTTTGCCACAGGGGTGCCTGGTGTGTTGGACGTTCTGAAAGGTTTTTGATTATTTTAGAACTCCCCTTGGGCCTGCGGCAGCGCGCCGGCTGGTTGTCTCGTCGGCTGTTTCGCTTCAGATGGCTTCAAGATGGCCTCCAAGGTGGTCAAGATGCCTCCCCAAGAGAGCCCAATATAGCCCCAAGATGGCATCGAAGACGGTTCCCAGATGCCTTCAAGACCGCGAAGATGGTCCAAAGTAGCCTAAGACGGCCCAAGAAGCGCCCAAGAGGCCCCAGAGATGGCCCAAGAGGCCTCCAAGGGATCCTCAAGGAAGGCCCGAAGAGGCCAACATCATTGATTTCTTAAGGTGTTCCAAGGAATTTGCATTTGCTTCTTGTCGGCCTTCCGACGGCCCGAGACGGCCCAAGAGACCCCCAAGATCACCCCAAGGTGGCCCCATGGCTGCCCAACAAGCCTCCAAGACGGCCCCCAGCAGGCCCCAAGACGGCCCCAAAGGCCTCGAAGAGCCCCAAGATGGCTCCAAAAGGTTCAGAGAGGCATCCAAGACGGCCTCTGACGGCGTCAGACTGGCCAGGAACAACGTAAGACACCAAAAAAGGCCCCCCCAAAAAACCTAAGGGCCCAAAGAGGCCCAAAGGAAGCCCCCACGGACCTCCAAAAGGCTCCCAGGAAGTTCCCAGGAGGCTCGAAGAGTGGCCCCAGAATCTCCCAAGAGGCCTCTTCCTGTCTCTCTCATTTTTCTCCTATTTCCTCCCTCTCTTCCTCGTCCTCCTCTTCCTACCCCACGTGTTCCCCCAAGGACTTCCACAACGGCTGGGGGAACGCATGGCCCATTAGCGTGGCCAAAGGTTGCCCAAACTTTTGGCCTCGTAGGCGTCTCCTAAAAGACAAGGGGCGGCGGTGATTCGCTGTAGGCGTTTTCGAGTAGGAGCAGGACGAAAAGGAGGAGGAGGAGGAGGAGGAGGAGGAGGAGGACAGTTCTTGGGAGCCTCTTGGGGCACTCTTGGAGATTCCTGGGAGCTTCCTGTGGGCCTCCTGGGGCATCTTGGGGATCCCCCTGGGCCTCTTGGGGGCCTTTGGGGGCTACCTAGGGGCCTCTTTGGCCGTCTTAGGGCGTTTCTGGCCCGTCTGACGCCGTCGAACCGTTTTGGGGGGCCTGGCTTGGAGCCCTGTTGGGGCAGCTCAAGGCCGTCTGGAGACCATTTGGGGCGTCTTGTATACTTTTTGGGCCGTCTTGGGGTCTTCTTGGGGCCGTCTTGTGGGCCTCTTGGGCCGTCCTAGGGCCATCTTGGAGGTCTTTGGGGCCATCTTGCGCCGATCTTGCGGGCCTCTTGGGCCGTCTAGGGTCGTCGGAAGGCCAAGAAGGAGCCACTACAGTAATGTTTCGAACGCATAGGGAACATCTATGCGTACCCTTCTGCAGGCCTTCCTGCATACCCTTTTGGAGGCCTCTTGGGCCGTCTTGGAGGCGTCTTAAGGGCCTTTGGGGCCGTCTTGGGCCATGTTGAGGCTTGTTTAGTCCGTCTGGGGTGCATCTTGGGCCGTCTTGGAGGCATATGTTGGCATCTTAGCCGTTTTGGAGGCCATCTTGTGGGCATGCCGTCTATTCGATGTTCGTTTGGATCTCGTGGGAGGCCCCTCGGGTGCCTCTTGGAGGCAGTTCGGAGGCCTCTTGGGGGCCGTTTGGGGGCCTCTCGGGGCATCGTTTGGGCCTCTTGGGGGCCTCTTGGGGTCTCTTGGAGGCCTCTTTGGGGCCTCTTGGGGCCTCATGGGCGCCTCCTGGGGCCTCGCGGGGGCCTCTTGGGGCAGAAGGCTCGGATGTTCGGTTCGTGTTCCCACTCTTGGGCCTCTTTTGGGGCCGCCTTGGAGCGTCGGAAAGCCGAAAAGGCGAGAACGCGGGGGCGTCTTGGAGGCCTCTTTGGCCGTCTTGAGGCCATAACTATTGGGCTTCTGGGCAGATTCTCGGCCGTCTCGGGGCCCTCGTGGGCAGTCTTGCATGCCGCTATGGGCCCTCTTGGCCCGTCGTGGGGCCCTCTTTGGGCCGAGAAGTTTGCGCACCACCACCTGGCCAAGCCCAGGTGGCGCGCGGAAGCAATTGAGAGCGAGGGGTCGAGGCCCCTTAAAGACTCCTCAGGAGTGCGGATTGAGGTTTAGAGCATTGGGCCCAAGACCTGAGGACACGCCCGCTCCGTGCCCGGCGGCACGGTGGCGGATATGTTTTGCAGCACGTATATTACAAAGGACCCTGTTGGGTAGGCGCATCAGAGCAATCCTTGGGGCATCTACGGGCCACGCTGAAGGCAAACTTGCTGCACGACCACGTGTGTGCATATGTTTTTCGGAACACTCGTTTTTGAAAGTATTGCGAAACCTGAGGTTTGTGATAGATTTCGGCATGCTCGCGCGACGATGCGCGATTGCGTACTCAGGATTCTCGCTACAGCACGCTCCCAAAGGCGTTCGAACAATTTCGGCATGCGCCTGCGAGAGGCCCGCTTGGTAGCATGTTATGAATATGTTGCAAACTCAGATGGGTTTCTTAAGAATCTGCAAGTGCGCGAGCGCAAGCTTTTCTTATTATTTTGAAAATCCGTGATGCGAAGTCATGTGATCATGTGTGCTTATATATGCTCGTGACACTCGGTTTCGAAAGATCTACGAAACTTAAGGTTTTAAAGGATTTCGGCATGCGCGCGCGACGACGCGCGCGTGTATACTTCGCCCGCGTTTTGCATAGGATTGTCGATAAACGATGGCGCGCGGATCGTATTTGTTGCAGAGGATGGGGGGGAAGTATTACCGGCCTGCCTGGGATGCTACGAGTTCATATTCAGGGTGGACGATTGGGGCAGAACCCCATGTAAATTACAATGCGGAGCGGGGGGCGGTTAAATCCGGGGGGGGGGTAGATCCTAATATTCTTTTATGAACTAGGAACTACGTTGTGACCAAGGGCTGCGACGAGGCGGCAACGGGGGGGCGACGGTGGCCACATAGCCGCTAGACCGAACACACGGTCCAGACGACGTGCGGCGATGAGGCGGCGACTGGGTGGCGATTGCGGCCACCCAGTCGCCAGATTGAAGACACGGCCCAGACGACGGGCGGCGACGAGGCGGCGACGGGGCGGCGACGACGGTAACATAGTCGCCAGACCGCAGACACGTCTCAGTCCGTTGGGCCGCCATTGTTCTCCGTTGTCTCCCGCTGCCTCGCGTTGTCTCCCGTTTTCTTTTTTATATTATCCCTAGGTTTTACAGCCCTACCCATGCTGTTATCCTTGTAGAATTAGCATTACTGTCAGCACGGGTACGAGTTAGCCGAGATAGAGCTATCGCTTGTTTTAGTATGAATATGTTGTGTGTTCGTAGTCTCCATGATCACTCTGGATGCCTCCGTCTGCGCTTTTATGTGCTGTTTCTTTCTCTCTCTCTTTCTCTCGCTCAGCGTTAAGCTGCTCAGGGTCTTCGCCGAAGGATGTAAGTTCTTCTTGCCCAGAAGGCTGGTGTTTGCATCATAGGCAGATGGATGGAGGCCCTCGTAGACGTGCACTCTGCTGGCGTTGGGTGCCCTATCGGGCAGGGCGGTGAGAAGTCGGCTGCACCGTGTCTGCAGGCGTGATTCAAACTTGCAGCACGAGGCAGGCCGTGGCTGGACGTGGTAGAACACCACAGTTGGATAAGATAGATCATTATCACTGCACCTGATTCATCCACATGTGCTCACACATGCAGCGAATGACATTGCACAGCTTGTACATGATTGTACGTATGCGTGGTGCCTTGCACAGGTATTTGCAAGTTTGTGTAGGGGTACGTCTGCAAATCAGAATCTGCCCATTCACCTTGCGGCCTCTTTGTGCTAACTCATGGTCGCATCGGACGCCTCCAGGAACGAGATAAGAAACGGAAAGGTAAGGAGAAAGCGAACCGAAAAGGTAAAACCAGAGAAAAGGAAAAAAAGAAACGGAGCGTGGGAGTCTGGGACAGGCAATGTGCAACGACTTGCAGCAAGATCTCGTGCTCAGTGAGACCGACAGCTTTTCGTGTTGGAGAGTATAGTTTCCTATCTGACGCGGCAAAAGGTCTGCGGAAGAGCATTGGAGAGCGAAGAGGGGGGAGCAAGGGTGAGCGGTGAGCGAGTGGGCACGGGATGAGCGCGAGTTTGATGCCAATTTGAGTGGGGGAGAAGGGGGAGGAGGAACACCAGCAGAAGGAACAGGCGGAGCATGAGGAGCAGCATAAGGCCAGGGGAGTTCGCAAGCACTGTGAGTATATCATTCAGTTCAGCGCGACCACAACCTAAATCTGCGGCGTGGGGCGCCAGGGAGTTTACGCATGCGTTGTTGTCGCCCCTTGCAGGGAGAGGTCAAGAACAGGGATAAGGAGGAAAGGGGGAGAGGTCCATCACCGCGATCGCCCGGGCTCCCACGAACTCTCCTCGCCGTGTCACGAGGCCCCCTCCTCGCTGCCCCATCCTGCTGCATTTTCCCCTGGACCCCCTCTGTCCCACTGTCGCGTCGTTTCGGTGTGGCGGCGACGCGGTGACGCCAGCGCGGTTGTTCGAGGTTGCGCGCGACACCGAACGATTTTGCGCGATCTTAAGGCCACGATCGTTCAGGAGCCAACGCAAGGGCCGGCATGGCACGAGCTTGCCGAAGAGAGGGAGGGGAGCGAACGCGGAGGAGAAGAAAGAAGGAGAGCTCGAGCGCCAGCGACGAGAGCGCTGGCACCAGCGACTCCTGAGCCAGCGGCGTCGGCGGCCGCTTCCCGCTCGGTCTGGCCATGTCTCACCCTCGTTCCGCCGCCTCGGCCGAGTGCCAAGACCCCAGTGGCGGACCATTCATGGGAGCAGGAGGCCGTGTGATGGCAATGAGCTCAGAGGAAGCGAAAAAGCTCACATTCACAACCCGATAGAAAGCACTATTTCAACCAAACACGTGAATGCATAGTGGAAGTGAGTCTTGGCTCATTGGAAGCCCTTCCATTTCACCATCAAGAAAAGAGCCGATCAGCAATCACATGAATTACGTGAGTCAGCTCCCCAATCGGAGCTTGTAACTACTTGGGTTGTTTTTTCTTTTTACAGTCATTGGACGGGCATGTCGGGGTGTCGGCTGGTGCCTGGTTGGTGGGCGCCCGTTGGCGCCTCGTGGGCGCCCCGCGCTGGGGGGGGAGTGCCGAGGTTCTGTCTGTTGCCCAACGTAGATTGCACCACGCAGGTTGCACAGCATGTCGTGCACCACAAAGGTTGTACCACACACCTTGCTTGGCATAGCTCGCATCGCATAGCTTGCAACACGTGCATCGCACCACGTAGACTGCACAGCCGAGCCTAAACCACACAGTTTGCGTCACATAGTCTGCATCGCATAACTTGCACCACATAGCTCATGCAGGCAGTGCAATCATTTATTGTTTAGGGTCCACCCTGACAAACATGTTGCCGTCTGTTTTTGCGTTCAGTCAACAACAACGTATTTGCATCCAGTGAGTTTCTTAATTTGGAGATGCGATCCAAGATCTCCAGGTTGTCATGATGTTCCAGAGCTTCCAGAGACCGGAGCCATTGGATACTGAAGAATTCCTGGACCGCGCCCTGTGCCAATCGCATCATACCATCACTCGACCTAACCATGAGGCGACCAAGAAGAGGGAGCCCGGAGGGAGCGAAAGCAAGGCGATCAGAAGAGAGAGAGCCCAAGGTGAAATCAGTCGGGAACACCAGACGAGAACCGACAGGACGGGAGGCCACAATTCTGGAGCTTGCCAAACACATGCAAGATCTCCAGTCTGTCCAGTGGTTGCATGTCGATGACGTCGGCAATGCGGCATGGTCTGGAGCCCGATTCCTGACGTCGCCGATGCATCGGCGGTGCGGCGTGGTCCTCCAACCGATCCTCGGCGGCGAGCGAGGGGGGAAGTGAGAAGGAGACGGCCTTCTCGGAAGGCGGCGGGACTTCTCCGAAGCCCTCGCGCCTTCTGAGATGTCTTCTTTGTCTCAGGGGAAGGCTTAGAACAGTTCTCAGAAGGCCAGGGGACTTCAGAGCCTTTTGAGAAGGCCCGCCCCTTCTCACATCCTCCCCGGGCTCGCCGCCGATATCCATTCGCTCCAGCCCGACTTGCATGGCATCCGAGAAGAGCCGCCAGGATCCATTTCGGTCCGACCAGTCTGATGCGATATCGATCCTGGCCAGCTCGCTTCGAGTCCATTCCGGCATTCCGACGACCCGATGTTGTTTGATGTTTGCATGGCGTTGTTGTGCATCTCGGGGTGCGGATCCGATTTGATTCCGATTCCCGTGCCGATGCAGCCCGATCCGACGCACATTCCGATCTGACACGATTTCCCGATTCGATGTTGATTGTTTGCCCGCTATGCAGCTCCCAGGCCCGATGCAATTTATATTTTGAACCTTTTTCCGCCTCTCACCCATTCTACCGCATGGAGGTGGGAAAGTGGGTGAAATAGAGAGGGGGAGGAGCGAGGGGGAGGGAGAAGGGGAGGAGAGACAACTCAGCGGGGAGGTGGAGGGATGATGAGGGAGGAGGAGGAGGACCAGAGCACACCCAAGACGCATCAGTGATGTTGCAAATTATCCTCCTGTCTCAAGTGCCCTGATTCCTACAATTTTTCCTCCACTACAAAAGCGCCTCCGTGAAACATCAGTACCCTAAGGACCTGTCATTCAAGCGAGAGCCCCGTTCTCGCAAGAAGTTGCCTTTCATCCTTTCAGCGCATGGTCAGGAATGCGAGCAGGCACGACCATGCAGCTCAGCGAGGTGTCCGGGGAGATCTCGCTTCGAAGGAGAGGAGCGCCCACGTCCATGCAACCGCTTCGCGTCTGGATCCCCTTGGCTCCAGCCGCCCTGGCTCGAGAGAGCATGGCTGCCATGCTGCGCCCGGGGCGGCGGCCGCCCGCCAGCCAGGCCGCCTCCGCGGACGGCGGAGACCGCCGCGGCGCGTCGCTGATGACAGCGGCGTGCGCCGTCGGCGCCGCGGGCGCCGCGGGCGCCGCGGGCGCCGCGGGCTCGGCCTGTGCCGCGGGCGCCACGGGCCTCGCGGGCGCCGTGCCCACCAGGCGCGGGCACCGCCGGCGCCGCGCGCGCCGAGGAAGCCGCCGCGTGCGCTCTGGGCGCGGCGGGCGCCTGCGGCGCCGCGCGCGCGGCCAGTGCTCCTGCCGACGCCGCCGCGGCGGCCGCAGCGGGGCGGTGGCCTGCGGTGGCCGCCCACGCCTGGGCGGCCAGGCTCGCCGCCCGTGCGGCGGCTCCGCTGGACGCCCCGCGCGGCCTCGTGCCCGCCGGCGGCCCTGGCTCCGCGGCGGAGCGGCGTCGGCGGTCGGGACCCGGCTAGCGTTGGAGGCCATGCTGGCCTGCCGGCTGATTCCAGGACGGAGCAGCACGGCGGATCCCGGCAGCACCATCGCGACGAGCACAACTGGTTCCAGCAGCACGACCGCCAGCAGCATGACGGACTCCAGCGGCGCTGCGAGCCGCACGACGGCCTCGGGCAGCACGACTGTGGGCAGCATGACGGACTCGAGCAGCACCGCCGCGAGCAGTTCGACGCATCCCAGCAGCGTTGCGGCGAGCAGCATGGTGGATTCCAGCAGCACCACCATGAGCAGAACGAAGGACTACAGCAGCACGACCGTGAGCAGCATGACGGGCCCAGCAGCAAGACCGTGACCAGTAGCACGACCGTGAGCCGCATGACGGTTTCCAGCAGCACCATCGAGACCAGCAGGACGGACTCCAGCAGCACGACCGTGATCAGCATGACGGATTCCGGCGGCAAGACCGCGAGCAGCGTGACGGACTCCAGCAGCACGACCTTGAACAAAATGGCGGACTCCAGCAACACCACCATGAGCAGCACGACGGACTCCAGCATCACGACGGTGAGCAGCATGTCGGACTTCAGCAGCACCATCGTGGGCAGCGTGGCGGATTCCAGCAGCACGACCGTGAACAGCATGACGGGTTCCATCAGCACCATCGTAAGCAGCACAATGAATTCCAGAAGCACCGTCGTGAGCAGCAAGTCAGCGCGGACGTGAGGAGGATGACGGACTGCAGCATCACCATCGCCAGCAGCACGACGGACTCCAGCAGCCCCATCGTGAGCATCATGACGGACCCAGCAGCACCAGCACGACAGACTCCAGCTGAATCATCGCGGGCAGCACGACGGGCTCGAGCAGCGCGACCGTGATCAGCATAACGGGCTCTGCTAGCACCATCGCGAGCAGCACGACGGACTCCAGCAGCACGGCCATGAGCAGCATGACGGACTCCAGCAGCACCATCGCGAGCAGCATTGCTGGCCCCAACAGCACGACAGTGAGCAGGATGACAGACCCCAGCACTAGTTATCATCGCGAGCCGCTCGACGGGCTCCAACAGCACGACCGTGAGAGACACGACGGACCCCATCAAGCGCCAACAACATGGCGGACTCTAGCACCATCCTGAGCAGCACGACGAACTCCATCAGCACGACCGTGAGCAACATGGCGGCTCCAGCAGCACCACAGTGAGCAGCACGACGGACTCCAGCAGCGAGACCGTGAACAGCATGATGGACTTCAGCAGCACCATCGTGAGCAGCACGACGGACTCTTGCAGCACGACTAGGAGCCCGATGACGGAGTCCAACAGGAGCAGCATGACATATTCTGGCTGCAAGACCGCGAGCAGCGCGACGGAGTCCAGCTTTACGACATTGAACAAAATGGTTGCTTTCAGCAGCAGCACCACCCTGAGCAGCACGACGGACTCCACGTGCGCGATCTAGAGCATCGACGACGGTTCCGAGCCGCAGCGCGGCGGACTTCGGCAACACGACGGTGAGAAGCAGAACGGATTCCGGCATCACCATCGGGAGCAGCACGACGGACCCCAATGGTACGATTGCGAACAGCATGTTGGGCTCCAGCAGCACCATCGCGACCAGCACGAATGTCTCCAGCAGCACGACCGCGAGCAGCATGACGGACTCCAGCAGCACCGTGGTGAGCGGCGCGGAAGATCTCCAGCAGCGCAACGGGGGAGCAGCATGATGGACGCCGGCAGCCACGTCTTAAGCGATCGCGATCGCGACCACGACCGTGAGCAGCGTGAAGGATTACAGCAGCACCATCGCGAGCAGCACGACGGATTCCATGGGTATGGCCTTGAGCAGCATGCCGCACCCCAGAAGCATCATCGCGAGCAGCGTGACGGACTCCAGCAACACGACCGCGAACAACATGGCGGACTCCAGCAGCATCATCGCGAGCAGCACCACGGACTCCAGCAGCACGACTGCGACCAGTATGGCAGACTCTTGCAGCGCCAACGTGATATCCTGGATTAGCTGGTTCACGCGAGCCTGGTAGAGCCGGCGTCGCGCCCTGCGGCGCCCAGCTCAGCGCGCGCGAGGAGCGCCGGCTTCGGCGGCCGGCCTTGGAGCTGTTCAACGACGCGTGGATGGCGAAGCTATAGCAGCACCCTGAATAGCTCGCGCGAGAAGAGCGAGCCACGCCAGCGGTTGTCAGCTCCGCCGCCGTTCAGCGAGGCGCGAGCAAAGATGCTGGAAGTCGCGAACACCCCGAGCTGCAGCGTCGGGCACCGAATGGAGGCGGACGGCAGCGGCTGCGCGGTCGCTGGGGCGGGGGGTGGGGCGGCAGCGGCGGCGGCAGCGGCGGCGCGTGTTGGGGCCGCTCGGGCGGCGGCGATTCAGCGGCGGCCTGCGCCGCCAGCTCTTCGCCGACGCAGCCCGCAAACTCAAGGCAGGTTGCGCGCGCCCCGCCAGCGATGCTCTCGCGCGCTTGGAGGGCGCTTCCTCCTCGAAAGCGTCGCTGGGCATTGCGGGCGGCCGAATTAATGCCGGAGCAACGTCGACCGATCTTTCGGAGGAGACCGCTGCATTCCTGACGGCGGGCGCGCGCCCTGCCCTCTCACCTGGAAGGCGGCGCCCCCCTCTGACGCCATCGGCGGGCATCGCGCGCTGCTCCGCTGGCGCAGGGGCGACGTCCATCGCCCCGGGGGCGGGCGCGCAATATGATCACGCAGACAAGCGGTGGGCCGAGGCCGGGGCGCTCGCGGAGGCGGGCGCGCGCTCTGAGTTCGCGGGCGGCGGCAATTCAAATATACGTCTGGCAACGCAGGCTCGTCGCCAGCGCGGCCCCCGACCCGCTGGCCCAGCGTTCGCCCGCTCAGGAGGCGCCTCGGCCGAACTGGAGGCCCCGTTGCCGCCGCCCCTGGGAGCTTTGGGAGCCTCGGGAGGCCGTCGCACCGATGCGCCTCAACGAGAGCCGTCTTCGCGGGGGCGCGACCTGCGGGCGCCCCTGAGCCGCGGAATCGCGAAGTGGGCCATCCGCCCCCGCCCCCGCCCCGGGCGCCCCCCAGCCTCGCCGCCGCGCTGCGGAACCGCCCCGAAGAACGCCCGCCTCCTGGCGGCGCGGGCGCGCTTGGGCCGGGGCGACGGAATATTCTCGGCAGCCAGAACGCCCCGCCCAAGGCTGCGATGCCACACGGGCCCTTCCAATGGCCGGCGCGTCGTCGGACGCGGGGGAGGTCGACGAGGCCGCGGCCCCCCCCCGCAGAGGCGGCGGCGGCAACCGGCAAAGCAGGCGGCGCCCACGACGACGACGCGGTGCTCGACCGCGGCCCCGGCGCCGCCAGGGCCACCAAGAGCGCGCCGGTCGACTGCGCGCGGCACCGGCGGCGCAGACGCACTGAGCCCTTATAGCGGGCACGAGGGCCCGGCTTGGCCGACGCGCTTGGCGGGCTTAGCCTGAGGTCCACCGCCGCGCGCGCAGGGGCGATTCTCGGCGCCGCGGGGGCGCCTGGCGAGCCCCTGGCGGTTGCTGACAGGCTGCGCCGCGCGCCCCCGGCGTGGCGGGCAGCCTGGTTCGCGCGATTTCCCCCCCTGCAGGAACGAGCGCCAGACGCGGTCGCCGGCTCGGGGGGCCGCGGAACCTCTTCCCAGCGAAGCCGTCGCCCACCATGCGCCTCCCCCCCGGCGCAGGCGCCGGCTCGCCGCGCTTGCGCCGCCCGGTTGCCTGACGCGCGCGCCCCGCCCCCACGGGGAGCGCGCCCTGCGGGCGCGCGCGTGCGAGCGCGCTCGCGGCGAGGCGCGCGCGCGCGGGCCGCCCGCCGAAGCTATTGGTCGGGGTTCACAAGTGCAGGCTTACACTATGCCGGCGCCCTGGCCTGCGCGACTGCCCTCCAAAGCGGCGCGCCCCCCAGCCCGCGCGCGCTCGCGCCCGTCGGGCGCCCCTGGCCGCGGGCTGCCCTCCGCGGCGGCCCGCCCCCAGCGTTGGCGCCACTTGGCTCTGGCGACCCCCCCCGTTATCCAAGCGCGCTCGCCCCGCGCGCTTCCCTTCCAAGGGGGGCGCGCGGGGCCGCCCGCCTCTGCGCCCTCCTGCGGGCCCTGCCGCGCCACTCAGTCGCCCTGCGGCCAGGCTTGCTTCCCGCCCCCGACCGGCTGCGACGCGCGCGCCGGTCGGGGTGGGTGCTTCTTTCCCTCTTCTGTCCTCCGCCCCTCTTCCCGCCCCGCCCGGGGCCGCCTCGCTGCGGCCCCGCGCGACGCCGCTGGGGCCCAGTCCTGGCTTCACATCCAGCAGACGACACCCGATGCAGCAACGCCTGACGTTGCTCGGACATCTGGCGAACAACAGGATGCGCCATTCCTTCCCGGCAGCATCCCAGGAGTTCTGCACCGGCGTATTGCCAGCACTTTGCTCTCCACGCTCTCAGCGATTGCAGTCTTGGTGGGCGTGGACGTGATGCCGTCCCGCGCCCACTTCGTAGTCCTGGTTGGCCGCGCCAGCGCGCTCGCTGTGAGTTTCTTTTTGTGAGCGCCCCCCCCCCTCGATCCGCGGCCGCCCTGCCGTCCCGCATCCCCTCTTGCACCTGGACAATTCGTTAGTCGTGTGTCCCCGACTTTTGCGAGAGCGTGTGAGGATTGCCCCTTTTCTGTGTTCCGACGAAAACAAACTCGCTCCGCCATCCTGCGCGTGTGGTCATGAGCCCCGAAGAAGCCTCAAGCGAAAGCCCCTTTTATGAGAAGGAACCGGCCTCCAGCCGCGCATCTGCCACATGCGTGGACGGTTCTGGCGTTTCCAGTTGAGGAATGCTCAACCGGGAAAACAATGTTGATGTGGACGCGCTCTCGATCCATGCGACGGCTGCGACCTTTCAGGCGAATGCGCGCGGCGCTAAGGCGAGAGTCCCTTTCCGAAGGGGAGCCCCCCTTCATGTTCGCATGTGTTGTTTTACAGACGAGTGCGCGCGGCGCTGAGGCGATAACTCACTGATGGAAAGGTCCCCTTACTTCCTTGCACTGTAACTGGTGTACACTGTTCGAACGAATCTGTGTGGTGTGAATGCGAGAGCCCAATGTTCAAAACCACCCTGGCTCCATATGTATTTACTGCACACTTCAAGCCTCGAGATCATGGATGGCGAAGGGTTATCAGGCGAACCGCCCCCGTACTTAAACGTTCGGGGGAGGGACACGCAAAGGACGACCTAGAAGGGAATGGGGTAGGGAAACAGGGGGGAGAAAAAAGGAGGACGACGATGAGAATGACAGCAGGTTGCAGGTCCAGGGCAAGAGCCCATCACGGCCTGAACATTACCAACCATGGCCTGCACCAAAATCTTCATTCAGACGTCGACGACTGCAAGACTCGAGAGGGGAGGGGAGGGGAGGGAAAAGGAGAAGGAGGTAATTGCGATGTGGGGGAGGGAAGGGGGCGAGGGGAACGCTGAGTTCGAGAGGGTAAAGAGTTTGGGACACCTCCAGTATGCTCGTCCTCGTTTGTCATATGCCCGCGTTGTTGTAAGAGCCCCACTTGGATGAGTTGGCAGCGTGCACGCAGGGGGTGGCGCGAGGGTGGCGGCCTTCTAAGAAGGCGCGGCGGGTTTCTAGGAAGGCTGGTGGCTTCTTAAGCGCCCTCCAGGCTTGTAAGCAGCCTTCCTTGAATCCTCCAGCCCCCCATTGATAAGGCAGCTGCCTTCTCCTCCTGAAAAGCCCCCCCCGCCTGCTTGAAAGGGCGCCCTCCTCGGTCCACCCTTGTGTGCGCGCCCGCGAACCAGAGACCGCCGCGTGTTCTCCTTCCGCATCTTCATCCCTCTCCTCCCCCGCGCCTCTCTTGCCATAGCAGCCCATCGGCATGCGACCTGGCACCGCGCCCCTATAAAAAGAGCGCGGTTGCGCTGCTCGACGCCTCTCTCCAGCCTGCACGAGCGAGTTGTGCATCCGACCGTACACCTACGACATAATCGGTGCGCGTCCCTGTCGGTTGGTCTCCTGCGCACCAAGTTGGGCGTTCCAGGCAAGGCCTCGCCTGTCGAGGGGATTGAGCGGTGGGCGTCTCTTCTTCGGCGGAAGGTGGCGGAGGCCGCAGAAGATCGGGGGCGGGCGGCTCTGCGGGCGGAGGGGGGGGAAACTTGAAATTGTGAGACCTGGATACGCTTGGATTCAGGGCTTCAAGTTTCTGGGTTCGGCAATCTGTGCCATGCGCACATGCGCGACGCAGAAAATCAGGGTCGTCTTCACCGAAATCGGCGCGTCAGGTGCCCGCGAAGGCCGCGTGCAAGCGCCTTGGTTTCCAGTGTGGCGTGCCGCGCTGGCGGCCCGCCTAAGTTGCGGCGTAAGGGTGTTATGTCATCTCGCGTGAGACCCGCTTGTGTTCGTCGCTCACATGGTTTCCAGTCTCGTTTTCTGTTTCCCAAATTACCTCGGGCATACAAAGTTGGTGCCCTGTCCTCTTGTCATGCGAAGGTGCTTGCCGGCGCTGGAGGCGGTAGTATTGCGGTCGTCGGGTGTCCGCCGTCTTGCCAACCACAAGTCTACTTTCCCAAACCATTAGAGCGGTGACGGAGGAATCCGGCACATTTCTGCACAATTCCTTGCCCGCTTTGCTTTGTGGCTGCGCCTTCGCTTTAAATAAAGCGTTTGTTAAGCCTCTTCCTCTTCCGCCCCCTCCCGCCATCCCCCTGGGCGTTGCCAAGCTCCAAACGCACAACCACACACACACACACTCTCTCTCCAGCGCCCCTAGAAGGTCTGTCCAACGTAATGCAGATCCAAACGAAGCCCCGCACCCCTCGTGTCTTACCAACTGCCTCCTCTTTTTCATGCTCTCCCAGGGGGTCCAGCGGAGCGGCGTCCTCCCTGATCCAGACGGTGCATCGCCCCCAGTGGGCGCTGCCGAACCCACAGGTACTCATGCGCCCCCAGGTCGTCCTGCGCGATTTTCAGGCGGGACCTCGCCCCCCTTTGTGCTGCAGATCGCACAGCGGTCCCCCGCTGCTAGCGCCCCCAGGATGTTTGCCAGAGGCGGGTGGGGGGGGGGCGCTCTGCGCAGATCCACACGAGACTTCGCCCTTCGCCGCGCTAGGCGTTGCCAGTTCGCGCGCCCTCAGGGGCCCAGCGCAATGGCACTCTGCGCAGATCCAGGTGGGACCTCGCTCACCAACTCCCCCCCCCGCCTTTACCAGCATGAAACGTATCCCTCTCCCTCGGACTGGAATCGCCTTCAGGGTTCCCCCTGTTTCCAATGGCACGTCCCTAAGACTGTCGTCGCGTGGGGCTTGTCAGCCTTCAGGATAGAGGACGGGGCTTGGTTCGAGGCTGGCTACCCCCCCCCCCACCTGCACGCCGTCAAGCTCGCAGCTCCTGCGCCCCTGGAGGGCCCAGGCTGAGACGCGCCACGCGCCGATCCTGGGCGAGGCCTCGCCCCCCGAGGTGCTGCCACGCACTGTGGGTGCTGGGGGCGGCGTGGGTCACGACGCGCTCGGCAGCAACGGCCGGGTCGCGGAAGAGCCGAGTCTGCACCCAACCCCGGGGGCTCGAGTTCAAGGGTGCTCTGGCGATCTCGTGGGCCGTGTTAGTTTTTGTTTTCGTTCTGCAGCGTCAGAGGAGCGAGGCCATGACAAACGAAGACAGCACGGCAATGAAAGACTCGTTCAGATCGAGTCTTGCCTTGACATTAGAAGATTGAAGAGCGGGTCGCGGAGAGGCGGGGGGCGGGGAGAGGGAGACGCGGTCGGAGCATGGAGCACTTCATGCGCGGTGTTTTCAGTCTGAGGCTCCGAGAGGAGCGGTGCGAAGGAGAGGAGGTGTTGCCAACACGCAGGTTTGCCCCACGTTCCCTGCACCTTTCGGGGAGGGGTCCAGCGGAGTGGCGCCCACGCGGACCCACCCCTTGATCCTGCCATACATCTTTGCCAGAGTATATCTGATTTCACCCGCACAACATACGATGTCTTGCCTGCAGTCGAAGATGTTTGGTGGCCCCGCGCTTGTTCTCAATGACCGTTCGGAGCTATTTCGCGGCGTGCCCAAGTCGAGCTAAGGTTGCTTACGCCGTTGTGCAATCGTGCAGTGTTGGTTGTTCGAGGCCAGTCAAACTAACTCGCCGTGGTTTGCCGTCGTCAACACTGCGCGTGAGGGTCTCAATCGACCAGCACAGAAATTGTGCCCTGAGTCTGCCGAACTGACGGGCCCGAACTTCGTACGCATCCCGCCCAGCTTTCAGCGAGGACCTTGCATGATATGCGAAAGAGCGTATTCTACCGCTGATGGCGGAAAACCGAGGGGGGTCATTGGGGGTTCCGAACCTGTCCCCCCCCCTGAAAGCCAGGGGTGGGTCACTGCCGGTTCGAACCCACCCTCCCCCCCCCAAGTCCATCATGAAAAGGGGGGGTCATTACTGGTTCGACAACCCCCCCCCTTCCCCTGGCCGCCCGCCGGCAAACGATTCCCGCTCCACGGGACAGTGGGGCAGTGGTGGGGGCATTGGGACAGTGGTGGGGATGGTGGTGGTGGGGACAGTTGGTGCTGGCACAGAGGGACAGTGGTGGGGACATTGGGGCCAGCGGGACAGTGGTGGGGACGGTGGTGGTGGGGACAGTGGCGTGGGGACAGTGGGACAGTGGTGGGGACAGTGGGGACAGTGGGACAATGGTGGGGACGGTAGTGGTGGGGACAGTGGTGAGGGCGGTGAGGACGGTGGTGGGACAATGGGACAGTGGTACAGTGGGGAGAGTGGTGGGGACAGTGGGGACAGTGGGACAGTGGCGGGGACAGCGGGGACAGTGGGACAGCACAGTGGGACAGCAGTGGGGACAGTGGGGACAGTGGGACAGTTGTGGGGACAGTCGAGACAGTGGGACAGTGGAGCGGACAGCGGGGACAACGGGGAGAGTCGGACCGTCGTGGGGACAGTGGTGGGGACAGTGGGGACAGTGAGACACTGGTGGGGGCACTGGTGGGGACAGTGGGACAGTGGTGCGGACGGTGGTGGTGGGGACAGTGGTGAGGGCGGTGGTGAGGGCGGTGGTGAGGACGGTGGGACGGTGGAACTGTGGGGATAGTGGTGGGGACAGTGGGGACTGGTGGGAACAGTGGGACAGCTCAGTGGGACAGCGGCGGGGACAGTGGGACAGTGGTGGGGACAGTTGGGACAGTGGGACAGTAGTGGGGACAGTGGGGACAATGGGACCGTGGTGGGATCACAGTGGTAGGGACAGTGGGGACAATGCGACAGTGGTGGGGGCGCTGGTGGGGACAGTGGGAACAGATGTGGGAACAGTGGGGACAGTGGTACAGTGGTGGTGGGGACGGTGGTGCTGGGGACAGCGGGTGAGGGCGGTGGTGAGGACGGTGGCGGGGGCCCGGGAGTGGTTGGCCGGCGGTGAGTGGGAGGGGGGTGCGTTCGAACCGGTAGTGACCCCCCCCTGGTTTTCTGGAGGGGGGGCGTTCGAACCGGTAGTGACCCCCCTAGTTCTCTGGAGGGGGGGAGGGGTTAGGGGGGAAGGGGGCTTTGCAGGGGGAAGGGAGGGGGGGGTTCGACCAGGAGGAGGGGGATTTTCGGAGGGGCGGGGGGGACCCCCGGGTTCCGGAGGAAGAGGGGCAGAATTGCCACAGTCAAGCGGCGGTGGGTCACGCTCTGTCATATGCCAAAGCTAGCACACCACACTTTGACGAGCGTGTTGACGCCACTTTTCAAATGCGCAACTGGAAAGTTTGTCCCTCCACCCAGCTCCTAAGCCCTCCAAGCAATCTGACGCTACATTGGTCATGCAACCACTTGGCACTAGAGTCATTCGAGAGGGGATGGGAGGGGAGTGAAGTTGCTATGCTATGAGAGTGTGTGTTCCTTTCATGTGAGTGGCAAGTGCACCATCTTGCCTCGGATCGCACCATGCGTGCATGGAATATGTTGCTCTTGCAAGGCATAGTCTTTGTACTCGGAGCTTTTTCAATGCAGCCAGTCGTTGCTCTTTGGTGTGTCTTTCTGTTGAACTAGTCGGGTTGTATGGCTGCAGCGGGTGCGTCTGTCTGTCGAGCTTTGCCACGCTCGGCAGAAAGGGGCCACCACCACCCTTCAGCGCGCTCGCAACGCACATCAAGCTTGTCGGAGGCCTGGAACGCTTTTTCCAGGAACCTGCACTATCGCACTCGGGGTCCGGCACCCTCCTCGCCGACCCGAGGTCCCTGGTTCCCGCGAGCCGGCCGACGTGCGGCCACACTCGACGCAGACGAGCGCCGACCCTGCGGCATCCTGCGGCGCGCAGCCTCCACCCGTGCATCTGCAAGCTATGCGTGGTACGACCCGCTCGCGCTGCCCAGGCTGGAGCTCAGGCTGCCCCCTGCGGCCCCTGCGCGGCGATCGCGTGCGCCAGGCCTCTCTTCTTCGCGTGCCGGCACGGCCGCGAGAACCAGCGAGGAGCTCCAGAACAGCGACGGCAAGCTCCAGCAGCTCGACCAGGAGCAGGCGCAGCGAGTCGAGCAGGCAACGAAGCGCCAGGCGCAGCTTGGCAAGCACGCGACGCGAGGAGGCCCGACGGGCCGCCGTGGCGAGACGAACGGAGAGAGCATGTCGAACATCCACGTCGAGCGCGCCACGGCCTCCGCAACCATGCAAGTCAGCATCACGGCGCGGTGCGCGGCGCCGTTCCGTGCAGGCGCACCGAGCGCCCAGCGCCAGGAGAGGCCAGCACCCCGACACGGGCACGACCGCCCACTGGCGCTGAGTCCGACGCGCCGGTTGCACTCGGGGCGGCCCGATGGCCGTGCCCAGTGCGATTCGAGTTTGAAATCTCCGGCTTTCGCGCCAGTGTTCTGCCAGCCAGCAGCGTGCCCGCGCAAGTCCTCGAGCCGGCGTTTGGTCGGATGGTGGCTGGTGAT